CCACATGGTAAAGTCCTGATGGCGGTGAGGCACTGAGGCACTTCATATACCACGTGGTAAACTATATTGTTGCTTTTTATCACATATGCGTTCATAGACCTTATAAACACATAAGCACACATATACATTTTAAACAAGTTTCATAAGGCCTTTCAGAACAGAAAACAGAAGGTAGACTCAAACAAATACTGTACAGAGACATTGAGACAAAAAACACTCACCAACTGACCAAATTTTCCGGGACCAAAATTGATTCTTCTGGGGCAGGCCTAATATACTGATTCCTCCTGCATTGGGTGATCTCCTCCTGCATTGGGTGCAGGAGGAATGGGCCCTGATGCCCCAGGAGATACCGAAAGTGGGCTGTTGCCTCAGGAGACACAGAGTGGCACTCACTGGGACCAGGCAGTACAGATTACCCACCAAAATACTGAAAATACTGAAGCTAGGGGCGTCCCCCTAGCCTCGGCAGCTGTGACCACCAGTGTGTCCATATTGATCACGTCTTGCTACCCAGACACTGACACCATGAGCTCCGAGGAATTTTCAGAACAGAGAACAGAAAACACTGCACATACAAACATTGCGCAGAATCATTTAGACACTTACGGCCGGCATAAAAAAACCTCCGGGTCAGGTTCCTGGAGTCTTTGGGTCCCAGGGCGAGCCCCCAAAATGTTCTGCCCAGTTCACAAACCTCAAAAGACCAGGAATAACTAGACTCCGCTGTAAATACATCAGGTTCTTTTTATTGTAAATTACAAGCTGCAGCTTGGACCCACACACCCCCACTGCCAAAGTGGTGGGAGCCGAGCGTCCTGTCCCCAGATAAGTTGGGTGATTTAAAGATTCTGGTCCATCCCAGCATGCCCCAGGCAGGGGCGATTCCTGCCTGGCAAACATCTATTGGTCAAAATGCTACATTTTGAATCGATTGGCTATAGGAAGGTTCCCAGGCCATTAATGATCTAGTGTCCCTCCTTAGGGGGATGGGCCAGTTTCCTAGCAATTGTATCTCTAGTGAGTTGGGAAAGAATGTAGTAAGGCGGTCCTTTCCCTCAGGGCATTACTGGACTTCTCCACTCACCTACTTCAGGTCTTAATAACAGCTGCTAATTTATCTTTTGGTCTCTCAGTTTGTGAAGGTCTCTCCAGATTAACAGTGACTTGAAGGGTGTGCCAGTCCCTGAATGAATGGATTAACGCTGTTTCTTTCTGGCTGATAGGTTTGGTCTGGCCAAAATAGTTCAAGTGCAGTTTTAAAATTGTTCTATACTGTTCTATTATGCAGTTGGTTCCAAAACTTATTTGATTAGGGTGTTAGAACTTGGTTACAGGAAACTGTAACTGCTCCACAGTGCTATACTGAGAGAGGCAGCGACACCATCAGCGACACCTAATGGCTATGTTTTAAATTGCCGGCCACAGCCTGTAACAGCACATGGCTGGCTACCATGTTGGTTCAGGGATAAAGAGGGTGGAGCTGTGCTTTTACCGCCATCTTGGTTGCGGGATGCCAGCTGTGTTCAGTTCCCTGTTCAATACTAAGTGAAAATTCTATCCTTTAAGCTTTTTTTCTGTTTGGTCTTTATAAGGTGATATGGTAGGATCAGCAAGATTTGCCAGCCCCTCCACGAACTGTTTCTGTTGAAAGTTTTGTTTTTAGTTCAGAAATATATTTAAAGTTATGCTAACGACTTTACAAGATTGGTTACAAGATTGAGCTTTACCTAGGGCTGGCAGAGTCGATCTGTTCCTAAGTGGGGAGTAAAGATTGAAATAATTAAAGCAAATCACACTCCACAAGAGATCAGCTTGAGAGGACTGTCAATAAGACCGCAGCGTAAGTTTATTCTGCAGTTGCTTTTTATAGGCAGCGCAAAAACAAGCCACATCAATTCTAGAAAGAGATTCATGGAACTGCCAAACTTGTTTTCTAAAACTACTTCCCGGTAGCAGATATGGTCCAGGGTCACACCAACACGTTTTAAGGAATTTGGTAAACTTCCTCTTTTCTCTGTCTCAAGGTGAAGGCCAGGGTGAAAACATGTTTTTCGATGCTCTGTTAAGCAGCTTGGCAAACAAGCAGTTCTCCACAACCTTGTCTCTTGTTGGTGTTTTCAAGGTTAAGCTTAGGCTGGGTAACTACAAAGTTTGCCTGTGTAGATCTACTTGAAATAGATATGGTCCTAAGGCACTTAACTACAGAATGTGCCAGAGTTAGAGATTATAACATTCTGTTTTACAGGATGCAGTTTAGAGAAGATAACTAAAGACAGACACAGACTAACTCAGATATGCTGGCTCTCAAGCTTGTCAGAGATCTGATGAATTGTGGCATCTAATGTATGTAAGTTTTATTATGACAAGAGTCACAAAATCCTGGCAGTAGCTCCCCCAGGTCCCCGGGAAGATTTGGGCACAATGACAGATGACTTCAACTCTGGATTGTGGTATGCTGACCACTGGGCAAAAGCTGCCCCAACTCGCCCACTGCTAAGGCCCAGCCTAAACTGTGGACAAAACTGTGGACACCTGGAGAGTCACTGTTTCAAATCGCTGAAGACAACATCAGTCTCTCTCTCTCTCTTTTTTTTTTTTTTTGTCTCATATGGTCTCTCATCTTCTGTGCCTGATGGCCAGGCTGCCTCTGCTCATGATGCCATGAGAGCACAGGAGCCAGGGTCAAATGCCTAGATGGCGGACTGACCAGTCAACCCCGTCATTTTGATTGGTACATAGATTCATTTAACTTATAATTCATCCTTCTCAGTTCTCTGATAACACTGATGGCTAAGCTAAGCTAATGGCAGCTTTTCAGCTAAAGAACAGACAGTTAGATCCACTGCTAGTTCATTAGTCGATTCACTGGCTAGTTGAAACTACAAAGTTTTAGATCTCTCATTTAGAAAGTCAAACAGGTTTGCCTTGTTCACAGGCATCATGTTAACTACCCATGTCTTATGGTGAACAGCTGGATAGAAAGATATAAAGTTTATGTAAGGTCTGAGGATATGAAAGTTTAAGTTATGAAGATCTAAAAAAATTGTTGGAGGGTCTAGGAAGATGTTTCAAGGTTGGTGAATGAAAGTTATGAAAGAAAACCTCTCTAAGAAGGTGCTTCAAAGTTGGTACATGCAAGAAAAATTCGAGGTTCTAAGAAGGTATTTTAAGGTTGGTAAATACAAGCTGTAAAATGTTTATAGGTCTAAGATGTTTTAAGGTATATGAATTAAAGTTGTAATATAAAAACAGAATTTATGGCATATTAAAATTGGGAGATACTTCAGATTTCTCTTCCCCTCTATGCTATTGTTGTGCTTATATTGTTATAAGATTTCAGAGGTTCAGAGTTTTGACATTGATCAGTAGAATTCTGATAAGCTGATGGAGCACTGGCTGCTTACTATTCAGTCACAAGCTTGAGATTTTAATTTCCCTCTGGTTGTCTTCTGGAGATAGACTTAAAGGTGCTTCTCATCATGCTAAAACCACCTCTGTCTAATGTGTATATCTCTGACCCAAAAGCCATAGCTTTTACTAGGTCTTAATGGCATTAGTCTATTTCTGCTGTCTTGCAGACACCTGTTACCTGCTTTTCCTAAAGTATGGATCTCAATACAATGGTGATACTGATATAATTCCTTTTGTAAACTAAAATTCATATGAGTTTCAGGAAATCAGAAAGTCATGAGACCTGGCTCTGGCATAGCTCAAGTGGACCCCAGATGAGTTTTTCCCTGGTCTTGGGAATCTCTGTTGTTCCCAATTTACTAGACAAATTTTAACTTCTGTCTCTAGTCTAAATTTGCCTCAGCAGATTTTCATCTGGCTGACAGACTCCATTCAGGGATCAACTATGGATTGCGAGCTGAGATCTGGAGTTGCTGGAAGCTGAGGTAAACCAGTCCAGACGATGTGATGGCTCCCTGTCTCTTCAACAGGATTGCTAATTAGATGGTGCCTCATTGCCTAGCTTTTGACTAGCATCTTCATCCTAATGTCAGACTGAAGCAGCTATAGAAGAAGAGATATTCATTGGCCTTTATCTTACCTGACAGGCTGAAATGCTAAGTCAAAGGGGCTCTCTCGGGCTAGAGAGATGGCTCAGTGCTTAAGAGCACTGTCTGCTTTTCCAAAGGACCCAGCACCCACATGGCAGCTCACATCTACATATAATTTCTGTTCCAGGGGACCCAACACCCTTACCCATGCGGACAAAACACTAATGTACATAAAAAAATTAAAAAATTTAAAAACCCAGTCTGGAGTATGAGACTTTAAAGGGGGGGGGCTGTCTGGCATAAGGAATGGGTTCCTATAATGTCAACTGACATACTAGAAAATTGACCCTTAGTTCTGCTTCTTCTAGTCATGCTTTGTGCCCCTTGTACAGTTATGCCGAGCATTAGAAAAAAGCCTCAGTACCAGCCCTTGGACACATCTCAAAGATCTGAGATTGAATCCTGTTCTGGGGGGGAATGAGAGGACCACGCCTGACCGCCTCTCCCCCCCCAAAAAAGAGTCATCAGTCCCAGGAACTAGGCCATAGGTCACCAATTCCAGGCATAAGAAAACCATAGTTTCCTACCCAAGGAACAGCTGGGGCATCTGTGTGGGGCAGCCCACTGACCTAACATTCCTGAGGTCTATGGGTAGCTCAACAGTGTTCAGCTAATCACTTTGTAACAAGCCTGCCCTTGCTGAATGTCACCCAGTCATGTAACTGTCAAGCTGGACAGTCCGTCCTTCCTCAAACCCCAATAAAAACCCTGCCATGCAGCTGCTTAAGGCTCTGCCCTCTGACCCACTGCTTTGGTGACTGTGGCATGACGCACTGATCTGAAAAGTGCTCTTTCACCCAAAGCATCTCAGTGTATAATCCCTACCGTACACAGCATAATTAATGGCTTAGAACAGAGGGGGTACAGTGACACTTTGAGGGGTCTGGATTTTTCTTTTATTTAAAAGACACAGAAATATCATGGGAATATGTTTATGTTTTAATCCCAGGGATGGGTGTATGGGGATGTTTCACAGCAGGTGACTATGATTTGCCTTGTGCTCTAGGAGCGCTAGGTTTGTTTATTTATTTATTTGCCAGAGGCAGATAGTTTCTGCGACTGTGTGACCTTTGGAATTCTGGGGTCTTTTCAGAGGGTACATAAATGCTAGGGCCTGAGAAGATGAGGGGTTGGTTAATGGGCTGTTGGTTGTTGTTGGTTGTGGTTTGTTAAATAGTCATGTTCAAAGAAGAAACGACGAGGGGCTGGAGAGATGGCTCAGAGGTTAAGAGCTCTGACTGTTCTTCCAAAGGTCCAGAGTTCAGTTTCCAGCACCCACCCGGTGGCTCACAACCATCTATAGTGAGATGCAGTGTCCTCTTCTGGTCTGCAGGCAGAACGCTGTATACATAACAAATAAATAAATCTTAAAGAAGAATTGGAAGAAAAGGAAGAAGAAGAGACAACAACAAGACAAGCAGAAATTAGATATTCTGACAGCAAAGATCAAACCTACCTGAAGGAACTCAACACCCCTAGTCAGCAAGAAATAGTCTACCAGTAAAGTTACCCCTTTTCTGACCCCTGGCTTTATTCAGGATCTCCTCCCTTGCCTCTTTCCTTTTTGCTCTTTTATCTAGTGTTAGGGGATTAAGGGAAGAAGAAAAGGGGTGCAGAAACGTGAAAGAAAGAAGAATCCACAAAGCAACAAGGGCCGGTTACGGGGTCTATAGTGTTGGGGATGGTTTTGTGCACTATGTATTCAAATGCTGATTTCTGGACCCAGAGATCTGGTTGCAGGCCTGACTTGGGCATTGTCATTTCTTTCCTTCTTTTTAATTTATTCACTTTACATCTTGATCATAGGCCCTTCCCTTTTCTCCTCCAGTCCTACCCACCCTCTTTCTTCCCCCTCCTCCATCTCTCTCCCCCCCAGTCCTCCAAAAGGTAGAGCCCTCCTCCCTTTACCAAGAGGCCATAGACTATCAAGTCTCATCAGGACTGTCTGCAAGTTGTTCCTCTGACCTGGCAAGGTTGCCCCGCGTGGGAAATTGATCAAAGAGCAGGCAACAGAGTCCATGTTAGAGACGGCCCCTGTTCCCCATCTGCTACCTCTGAGCACGGGGGTCCTCTTCACGCATGGTCCTTGGTTGGTGCATCAGTCTCTCCAGGACCCTTGGGCCCAGATTTGTTGGCTCTGTTATTTTTACGGAGCATCTCTCGTCTCAATATTTTATAAAAATTGTTTCTCCACTATATCTGATCGGTTAATAAAGGGCTGAACAATCAATTTCTGGGCAGGAGAGTAAGGCTGAGGCAGGATTTAAAATCCCAGGAGGAGGGTCCCAGATGGAGGAGACAGAGAAGGAGAAAGTTGCGATGAGGGATCACCATGAGGGAGTTGCTATGAGGACATAGATGGAGCAGGAGGAGCCAGGGTGAGATTAAGGTGGCTGGCTTGAAGATTATTAATAAATTTAAGAGGTCTCATTTGGGAGCTAGAGCAGGCATAGAAAAAAAACAACAACATAATTTTATACAATATCCCAGGCTTACCTGAAATTTGCTGTAAGGATGGCCTCGAACTCCTGAGCCTCCTCCTTCCATCTCCAGAGTGCTGACTGGCTGGTGTGCACCACCATACCTGGTTTCTGCTGTCCTGGGAATCGACCCACGGCTTACTTCATGCAAACCCAGCAGGCGCTCTACCTGCTGGGCTGAGGTGATTAGAACAACTTCAACACTGGTGGTGGTGGGGGGGGTTGTATCAGACTGGGGAGCTCTCTTCCCTTGTGCTGGTTTGAATAACAATGGCCCCAGAGGCTCACAGGCAAAGGGACCCTGGCTGGCCAACACCCTCTGGCAGGCCTTCTCCCCCATTCCCTCTGCCTTGCTAGAAAAAATTCTACATCATATTCCTAAAGCTAGCCACCAAGGTCACTCCCGTCACTTCCTCCTCTTAGCATGATGGATCCAGCTATCAAAATACAAAAGTCCAGCCGGGAGGTGGCGCATGACTTTAATCCAAGGAGGAAGAGGCAGGTGGATCTCCTTGACTTAGAGGCCAGCCTGGTCTGCAGAAGGAGTTCCAGGACAGCCAAAATTATTCCAGCAATCAAAAAGCCCCCTTTGGCTCACCTAATTAAAACGGCCAATTAAAATTAAACACCTCATCCTTTATAAACTACCATTTTCCTATGTGTCACATCTGTCTCCTCTCTATCCTGAAGTAGTCTTTTGTCCCTGTCGTGGGATAAACAACCCTGACCCCTCTTCCTTGTTCCCTTCCCCTTCTCCTTCATTCTCTATCTCCTGTCTTGGTCTCTTTCCCTGCCCTTTGTCCCTCTGGGTCAAATAAATCTTTTTCTGTGCTAAGAACTTCATTTTGGGGTCTTGAGGGGACTTTGAGGCTCCCTAAGATAGCATAAGGCACTGTTAGGTGGTGTGGCCTCATGGGCCTTGGAGGTCTCAGATGCTCAGGCCAAGCCCAATGTCCTGCAGCCTGCTGCCTGGATGTTGAGCTTCCAGCTCCTTCTCCAGCACCATGTCTGCCTGCATGCCGTCATGCTTCTTTCTGTGACGATAACGGATCAAACAAAACTCTGAACCTGTAAACCCACCCTAATTAATTGCTTTCCTTGGGCTGGAGAGCTGGCTCAGAGGTTAAGAGCACTGGCTACTATTCTAGAGGTCCTGAGTTTAAGTCCCAGCAACCACAAGGTGGCTCATAAACATCTATAATGAGATCTGGCGCCTTCTTCTGGCAGGCAGGCACACACGCAGGCAGAATACTGTATAAACAATAAATAAATCTTTAAAAAAAAAAAGTTGCTGTGCCCTCTTCACAGCAGGACAGTGACTAAGACACCACTCCTGGTTTTCTTGTGTGTCTGTGTGGGGAGTGGCACACACTCAGTACCCCTACACCCAGAGATCCTCACGCCTCAGACTTCCCCTGTTCACCCAGGAGCCCCCATGTGGGACTCATTCTCTTTTTCATTTAATCCTAGTTTAATATTCATGTCTGCTGTTTCCTGTGTCTTAGGTAGTTTTCATTTTTTGTTTGTTTGTTTGTTTTTCAATTTTTTTCCCTTTGTCAGTCATGAGGGATCAGAGACAAGGCACCACACTGCAGCCTGAGGAGGCCCCTCATCTCTCAGGACATGGCTACAGACTACACAGAGATTCGTGACTTGGATGTGCAAAGAATTTGGGGAGTGGTTAGTTTGTAAAGCAGAGTTGGGGTTGAGGTAAGGTGATGAGGTGAGGTGATGTAGGCCACCATGGGGCAGGAGGAGGGGAGTCAAGGCAGGAGTTGGAGCAGGACCATTTCACAACCACATTCAAGGGCAGAGGGAGACAAATGAAGGCATCTTTCCTTGCCTGTTTCCTGTCAGCATCCCTCTTCCTTCCTTAACAGTTCACCCACCACCACCTAGGGGGTGGTGCCACCCACAGTGGGCCTTCTCAAATCACTTAGTCTTAATAAAATTGAGCACCCACAGATGGGCCCGTCTGATTAGACAATTCATGAAGACTCTTGCTAAGTGATTTTAGGTTGCGTCAAATTTGACAGTTACAACTGATCTGATGAGGTAAAATCAGAAATCACAGGTTACAAAAGGGTTTCCATTAAGCCATTAAAGGCTATGCATGCCTTTAATCCCAGCACTCAGAAGGCAGAGGCAGGTGGATCTGTGTGAGTCCGTGGACAGTGTGGTCTAACGAGTGAGTTCCAGGGCAACCAGGGCTACAGATAAAAGCCCTGTATCAAAAACCAAAACAAACAAACAAACGTGTTCTGTTAAGTTTGTATCCTTCACCTGTAAATGGAGTTTTTGGTGACATTTCTATAAAATAGTATGTTTTCAGCCTGGAAGGAAGAAAAGCCTTAAACAGTAATTGCCATGCAATTCTCTGCTAGAGTGACCAGCTGGCTCTTATGTCCCTCAGAGTTGTCCCATTTTCTATCCCGACGTATACACAGTTCAAAAACCTAAGCAACCCAGGAGACTGTTTGGTAATCATAACTACACCGCAAGTACGGTGGTGGTGGGGGGGGGGATGGCGACAGCACGACATACGACATACCAGCACTTGGGAGGCTGAGACAGGGGGATTGCCTCGTTTTGGGTTGTTTTGGTTTTTGAGACGAAGTTTCTCTGCGTAGCGCTGTCTGTCCTGGAGCTCAGGTTGTAGCCCAAGCTGGCCTTGAATTTAGAGATCCGCCTGCCTCTGTCTCCCAAGTGCTGGGGTTAAAGGTGTGCGCCACCACCGGCCCCCTGATAAATGTTTTTAAAATGTTTTTCTTTTTGGCATCAGAAGAAGGGGGGATATGCAATAGATAAATCTTTTTACTGATTTGTTTGTTTGTTATGTATTCAATGTTCTGCCTGCATGTGTGCCTGCACGCCAGAGGAGGGCACCAGACCTCATTCTAGATGGTTGGGAGCCACCATGTGGGTGCTGGGAATTGAACTCAGGACTTTTGGAAGAGCAGCCAGCGCTCTTAACCTCTGAGCCATCTCCCCAGCCCCCAGATACATCTTTCGAAAGGGATTAAGTATAAAATAAAATAACTGAAGTATATCGCCTCGTGGTTAAGCGTACTCGTGGCTCTTTCACAGAAAGTGGATACTCCCGTATTCCAGCCTTGCTGAGATGCACCAGGAGTTCAAGGCTGGCCTGGGTGGTGAGACTGTCATTTAAAAAAAAGAGAGAGAGAAAGAAAAAAGCGAGAAAACAGACCCCAAAATTTCACAGCATCACTTGGTGCGGTGACTGCGCTTCAGATTTGTCGTGAGGAAAGCAGCTGCACCGCGTGCCCGGTACCATACCACGTGGTAGGAGTTGGAGCTACTGGGGTCCGCCACCGCCCCATCATGCTTCGCGTCTGCCCTCTCGGTGCCTGTCAGACAGACTTTCGGTCTCCGTGACGTCTCAGAGCCCAGTTTCCATAACGACCCCCTTGTGCCCGCCTTCACGTGACATCACTTCCGCGAGCGGCTAAAGCCGAGATTAAAGCGCACGCGCAAAGGCAAAACACACAGGAAGTGGGTTCCTTCTGCGCAGGCGTCGTGGGCTTGAAGGCGGGGCTTGGCTGCGCCGGGGTGCGCAGGCGCAGTCGTCGGTGGGTCGGGGCTTCGGTCGGCCGAGAGGTGAGTCGGGGGTCTCCGGCGCACCCCGTACGGGCGTGGGGGGTGTTGCTCGGGATGCGCGGCGCTCGGGGACCCCCCCTAAGACAAAGGGGTTTGAGGTCGGGACTTCCTCGCCCCGCGGGGTCACGTGAGCGAGCAGCGCGGAAGGGAAACTGAGGCTGGCGACTTCCCGACCCCCCCTCCGCTTTCTCTCTGGAAGAGGCCGGCGTTGAGGTGTGGGGTGGCGCTACCTCCGCTCCCTCAGGACCCCTCGGCGCAGGGCCCTCCCACTCTACCACTCCCCACGCTGTTGACCTTGCTCCTCCCACAGCCTGCTCGGGGCCTCAGTTTCCCGCCTCTGTACAGTGGGCGACCACCGTCTGTTTGAGCGGTTGTCGGTGCTCGTTCCCATTTGGAGGGTGTGTTTGGTTAGGGTGCGGCAAGTAGGTGAAGTTTGGGGTTGCAGGGCAGAAGCCACCTGTCCACCTGCTGTGCACGCTAGGGCCGGCTCGCTTGCCGTCTCTGAGCAGCTGCTCTCTTTTAAAATCGTGGCAAGGCAGGTGTGCTGACACAGGCAGAGGCAGGAGGATCGTGGTGGCTTCCATGCCAGCAAGGACTACATACATTGCCTCAAAATACAAAAATAACAATCAAAAGCAAAGACCCCAAAGAATAGCCTAGCTCTTTGGGCCATCACCTATAAATCCAGTGTTCCGTTTGAGAGGGTGAGGCAGGTGGATCTCCACGAGTTCAGGCCCAGCCTGGGCTACCTACTGAGTTTCAAGACCTTACCTAAATGTTGAAATTACCACAGTTTGAGAGACCCTCTCTCAAAACAAAAGAAGCCTTCATTAATTTTAGTTGCTTCACTTTTTGACAAGAGTCTTTATGTGTCCCTGGCTGTCCTCGAACTCGCTACATAGATCAGGCTGGCCTAAAACTCCCACCTCTGCCCAGGACTAAAGGTGTGCACCGCCACACCTGGCATCGTAATTAGTTTTTAAACCGATGTTAATATTAATATGGCCCTGTAGTTTAGTTGTAAACCGGGGTTGCTGGTTGTCACCCCAGCATGTAGGAGGCTGAGGCAGGACGATGGAAGTGAAGTTCAAGGCCATCTTGGGGTACATGATACTATCTTCCTCTCTCAAAAACCAGGGATGCCAACTGCAGGCCTGTAATCCCAGCACTTGGGAGGCAGAGGCAGGCAGATCTCTGAGTTGAAGGCAGCCTGGTCTACAGCTGGAGTTCCAGGACAGCCACAGAGAAACCCTGTCTAGGAAGACAAAGCAAAACAAAAACAAGAAACAGGCCATGGTGGCCTAGGCCTTTGATCCCAGCATTCAAGAGGGAGAGGCAGGAGGCTCTCTGTGAGCGAGGTCTACAGAGTGAGTTCCGTGAGCGCCACTTGGAAAAACCTTGTCTTAAAAAAAAAAAAAAAAAAAAAGCAGGGCTGGAGAGATGGCTCAGTGGTTAAGAGTACTTACTGTCTGCTCTTCCAAAGGCTGTGAGTTCAATTCCCAGCGACCACATGTTGGCTCACAACCATCTATAATGTGAACTGATTTCCTCTTCTGGCAGGTGTAAATGCAGATAGAACACTCATATACATAAAATAAATAAGTCTTAAAAAAATTTTAAAAAAGCAAAAACAAACAAAAAAATGACAGCAACAACAAAAAGAAAGCCAACTGAAATTGTTGTTAATATGTCTGTCCCTCTGTCACCTGGGGGTGAATTGTTCCTACGTTGGCCCATTAGCATCCTGCATGCCTGTAGGCTTTCGTGGTGAGTCGGGGATGACACAGAATCCCCACCAGTTGATGGAGATGACTTCCCTGCTTCGTTTTTGGTCCTGGTTATTTGTTTGAGTGGTCTTTCCTTTCTCTGCCATTCTTGTCCCCAGGGACCGGGGACAGTGTGTGGGGATATTTGTGATCGCTGTGGCCCTGGTTGGAGGTTGGGAAACTTGCTGAGAGAGCGATGTTCCTGCTGGGGAGACAGCTCAGTGGGCACAGTGTCTGGCACAAGGGTCCCGCCTTGATTCCTTACACTCCCTCCGCTCCCGTCCTCCCACCCCCGTGTAGAAAGCCGCAAGAGGTGCTGCTCCCCCGTGCAGTGGAGGCGTGAGACAGGAGGATCCAGGCTGTCTGGACAGCCTGCCTAGCGCTGTCGTTCAGCCCTGTTTCCTAGGGGGACACTGTCTCTGAAGCATGAGGGAAGGACACCCAGGGTTGAGCTACCTCCACTCCGGGTGTGTGTGTGGGGGGGGTGAGGCAAGGCACGTGTTTGTGCACACGTGTGCGTAGGTGCACCCATAGTGAGGCATACCTGTAGTCCAGCACTCAGGAGGCAGACATGGGAGGATTGCCCTAAATTTGAGGCCCGCCACGGGTGCAGGGAGCTCTGGTGTTAAAATGGAACCCAGCCCAGTGGCGTCCTGTTGTTGAGGCCTCTGCAGGTTATGTGGGCTCCAAGACTGTGTGTACCCCATTTCGTGGGTAAGGGACTGTCCATTGGACTCTGTACCCCGGAGCCGCTGTCTGAGGCCCAGCTGTTGCTCGTGGCCAGGCATCAGCTCCGCAGCTGGGCTTTCTATTGTTCCCAGGGCTTCCTGCGTGCTGAGTGACACTCCGCTCACGGGAGCCCGGTCTAGGCGACCTCACCAGGCTCCTTAGAATGGATCTGAGCTCTGCAGCCAAGCCTGGCAGTTGCCTTACTGACCTCCTGGCTTGGGAAGTTTCAGGGTGGGAGAGCAGACACACACTGTGTAGCCCAGGCCAGCTTTATACTTGTGGCAGTCCTCCTGTGTCAGCCTCCCAAGTGCTGGTAGGAGCGGAGGCTCGGGCCCAGCTAGGGCTCTTGATGTGCGCCCTGTACACCTGAGTGCGTAGCTGCGTGCCCAGGAAGTTCTGATCGGCCTCCCACTTACCCAGCCGGTGCCATCTCCCGCTCAGCCACCTCACCCGTCCACAGGTTTGGGGCTTGATTCTGAGATGAAGGAGCGAGCTGGGTTGAGGCAAGGGCCAGCCACCCGTAGGCTTCGTGGTCCCGCTGTGTCTCGGGAAGAGAGGGTGGGAGGAGGAGTGTGGAACAGCACTGAGAGGTGTCAGGCCGCTCACCCAGGAGAACCCTGGGACTCCTAGGCCCTGCTTCCCCTCAGCCCGTGCCCCACCAGGCAGGCCTGGGTGGTGGGCAGCCGTGCTCATAAAGCCACAGTGTTCTGAGAGAATAGGCCTTTGAGAGCCTAGTCCTGTGGCAGAAGCTCCCCAGCCTCCCGGGCCTGGGCTGTGAGAAGTGGGGCCTCATGGCTGCAGAGGGAGGTCAGTGTTGTTGCAGAGGCACACACCGGTTCATGTGTCTTCCAGTGCAGATGTTCTGCCTCCACGGAGGACAGATGCTGTTCTCTGAGGGGCTGGCCCTAGTCAGACATCCCCCACAGTCTCCTGTGTCCTTTCCAGCACGGGGCTGCGGTGTGTCACCATGCCTAGCTTCTTACACGGTGCTAGGGATTTGAACTCAGGCCCCCGTGTTTGCAGCTCATACCATACCCACTGAGCCATCTCCCAGTCCTGTGGGTGCCGTGGCACTGTCCTGTCAGATACAGCTCAGGAGCTAGGTCTCCTTCCTTCCCTTGAGATGCGGGGATGGAGCTTAGGTTGGCAGGCCTGGCGGCAAGCTCGGTACCCACTGAGCCATCTTGCTGGCCCACTGCTCCTGTTTTTATTCATTTGTTTATTTAGTCAGGGACTTGTCATAGCCCAGGCCAGCCTAGAACTTGGTGTCCCCTGCCTCAGCTCCTGAGCACTGGAATGAGTAGTGGTTTTCTCATGCCCGGCAGGCTGGCGTGGAGGGATGAAGCTTCCTTTTGGAGAAGCTGAAGGTCTGGCCTTGGCCTCCAGTTTCTGGGCTGTACAGCCTACTACCCTCGTTTGATCCTGGCTTGTGACCCTGGTAGCCTGTCTGTCCTTTCAGTTTGACCCTGAGAGCCATCACCCGTTGGTGCTGGTGGACAGGGGTCCTCTGGGTAAGGGGCAGCGCTTGCCCTTCCAGCCCCAGAGCCTGGGTGGCTCCCTCTGTGGCAGGCCTCCCTACCCTGTGTCTTCACAGTGGTCCCCCATGGGGGTCAAATATTTCCCTTAGAGTAATATTTGGGGATAGGCCCCGGGCTTTGTACATGCTGGGCAAAAAGTTGGAACTGAGCAACACCCCTGGCCTCCGCTGGGTTGGAACGTTTATCTGTGTGCACGTGTTGCCTGCACAGGGTGTCCTATGCCCAGGCTGAAGCTGCGGGTGCTCTGGGGTGCCGAGAGCGGGGGTGCAGTCCTCTGAAACAGCAGCTCAACCTCTGAGCCATCTCCCTGCTTCACTCCTGCATTTACTGATCTTGAGCCAGGGTCTTCCGTGCAGCCATGGCTGGCCTCAAACTCGAGACCTGCCTGCCTCTGCTTCCCCATAATGGTGCACCAACCACCTTCAAACCCAGTCCCTCACTGACACTGGTCTACTTAGACCGACCTTGAACTCAACATCATTCTCCTGCCTCAGCTACCCAAGTACCAGGGATCACAGTCCTTGCCGCCTGCCCTCTAAGTCTTTTCCTTTTATTATGCTTGTTTTAAGGTGAATCAGAATCCCTCTTGACCTCCTTTAACCTCATCACCTCCCTAAAGACTCTATCTCCAAAGGCAGTCACACTTGGCCTTGGGTGCTCAGGGCTCTCTGTAGAGGCGAAAGGGACAGTGTGGCCGGTGAGGCTGGGAACAAGGCCTGGGAGCAGGCCCCATAGCGCCCTCTCTGCGCCTCTCCGCTGTGCTCCAAGGCTGCTATCTGAATCCTGGGCTGAGGCTGAAAGCATGGCAGTGTGTCCTCCGCCGAGGTATCTCAGTCCAGCAAGCATGTCTGGAGTGCTTGGCAGCGGCCCGTGGCCAGGAGCTCAGCACTGCTGAGAGCAACCCATCTGTCCGGAAGGTGATGGCAGAAGGGGCCTGCTGTGTGCTGGGGAGGGACAAGATGACCTGCACGGTCCTGGTCAGCAAGGAGGATGGGGTAGCAAGGCAGTGGGCACCGGGCAGGCACGGCCAGGGCTCACCCAGCCTGGCAGGAGGGACAGGCTCCCAGCCCCGGGGACAGAGGCCACAGGGGAATGCACCCACACTGCCGCCTCCACCCAGGGTCTGGGCCCCTCTTCCCTACCATCTGTGAGGACCTGCAGCTCTACCTGCAGTCTGTCCTTCACCAGAGACGGGCTCTGAGGCTTGGGGCGCTGAGCTCATGTCTGCTGCCAGCATGGGGCTGTGCTGAGGGATCATGGCTTGAAGGACAGTGCCGAGGGCTGCCCAGAGCTGTGCAGCAGCTGTGAAGTTTCCAGCAGCCCCACTCCCCAGGGGCAGTGACTGAAGCGCTGATGTGGGCCTTCGGGGTCAGCCGGGCATCTCACTGTGACCCGGAGCCACGTGCTGCGCTGGCTGTCATGATCGCATGCCAGACGCCAGAACTTGAGGCCAGTTTCTGTCTTGACTAAAGGCCACAAGTCTGAGCTGGCACACAGTAGGCCTCAAACCTCCAGCGGCCCTTCTTCCTGCCCGCCCGCCCCCGGGGCTGCTGTCGCCCTGCTCCCTTTGCTTGTAGCCTCTGTCACACAGTGTCGCTCTGGTGCTGCATCCAAACACGCCTCCTCTCCGAGGGTTTGTTAGCGCCAGCCCATCCTCACGGCTCCTTCTAGGCCCGAGGATGTGACCGCAGCACCGTGCCTGCTTCTCTGCTGGCTCGCCTGGTGTGCAGTCAGCTCATCTCCAGGGGACCGAGCTCACCTGCCACCCCTGAAGTCTCGGGCTGACGTCAGTCGGAATTGGTTGGGAGAGCCCCACTCAGCTGCCCTCTAGAGCCCGGAGCCCCCCGTGTAACCGTACCGTGTCGCCATGTAGTGCCCAGTTTTAAGCTCTAGTTCCTCCGTCCAGCCTCCAGCCCTAGATAGGAGACAGGCTCGTGGGGAGAGGGGCCGCAGACCCCTTTACTTCTCCGGCTGTTTAGGGTCGAAGGGTCTTTGGGGATACGCCAGTCTCTGTCAGCAGCAAACCCAGCAGCCGTCTCCTCCACGCCGCTGTCCTGGGTTTCTCTCCGTCTGTCTGCTCCAAACTGCCACACCGTCTGTCTCACTAGTCTCCAGACTGCTCCACGCCACCGCCACATGCCGGCCGTACGCCCTATTTCTGGGCTCAGATTTATATCCTCAGAGCCCTAGACCACGCCCCTCTCCCTGTCGCCAGAGGCGGGCCGGTACCAGCTGGCAAAAGCCATGCCGGCACGAGACAACAGCTGGGGACAAACTAAAGCCCAACTAGAATCCCACACTGGATTAAAACAAAAACATATTTACATAACACAACTGCCATTCCAGCAGGGGTCTTGGGGACCAGGGCTGTGAGCTGAAGCACCTCCCAAGCTCTGAGTGTAGGGTGGGTCAGGGAGCTGAAAGCCCTGGGGTCCCAGAAAACAGCTCTGTTCACCGTGCCCCAGGACAGGCGGCACTGACTGGCTGGTATGCCTCAAAAGGGTAAATTGAGGAAAGAGTACCCAGAGGCAGCACTGTTAACTCTCCATCCCTAGCAGTGTGGTTGGGGACACAGTCATGTCTATGTGGCAGACAGGCCTGTGGTTCCCTGCCATAGTGTCCCCACCTGCCACAAGGCAGATGGGAGGCTCTGCCTGAAGGCCGTGACCCTAGGACTGTGCCTACAGATCCTGAGCAGTGGCACCTCAGCAGCCTCAAGATGGACAACAGGAAGCGCTTGGCCTATGCCATCATCCAGTTCCTGCACGGCCAGCTGCAGCACGGCGGGCTCTCGCCCGATGCCCAGGAGAGCCTAGAGGGTGAGTGTGGGATGCTGTCTTCCAGCCCCACCAGGGCCCAGGACACCCAGCCCATCAACCGCAGAAGTTGGGGCCAGCCAGCATGCATGCCCGGCCTGGGCGTCTGTCACCTTCCGAGGCTCGTGCAGGGGCGGCAGGCGCCCTGCTCTCCTTGCTGGTCCTCTCTGGCTGTGGGCTGAATCCCCAGCCCCTAGTGTGCCTGTGACACCAGGGTCACAGGGTGGTGGTTCCTGGGGGCCGCCTCAGTGGCTGGTTGGCTCCTGTGCGGGTCTCCTTTGCTGAGGGTGTGGCCTGGGCCTCCTTCTTTGTTCCTGGGGAGATGTGACAAATGTCTGTCTGTCTCAGATAGACCAACATACAGGTGCCACCAAAGCCCTGCTTGGTAAGCCAGTGAGGCCGTTGGGGTCACTAGAGGAGCAGAAGTGACTCTGAGACACCGTATCAGCCAGGCCCACCACAGCATGGGAGCTTCCAGGCTCCCTCCCTGGAGCGCAGCCCAGCGCCTGAGGCAGCGGGGCAGGGCACAGTCTCTCCTCTGCCTCTGAGCGCTGAGCCCACCGCTTATGTGCGAGAGAGGGCCTGCTGCATCCAGTGTGGTCAGAGGCTTCCGGAAGCTCGAGCCATTCGCTTCCTGCCTCACCAGCTTTCTGCAGCATGGCAGTTTGCCCCAGGAGTTGCAGGTCCACAGCACGGGCAGGCGAGCATGTCTGAGAGGCCGCCTGAGTTCCCTGAGGCACGGCCAGCTGCTTAGGGCCATCAGGTCCATGGTTGAAGACCCCTGGGTGGGGGCTGGGAGCAGGTAGGTAGCGCACGCACTTGGCTGTGTGAGGTGCCATGGTAGAGCACACCCAGCCATGGTAGAGCACACCTGCGCTCCCGGCACGCGGAGGTGGAGGCTGGACCATCCTCGTGAGACCCCATCTGGAGAGAAGTTGCCAAAGCTTCCAGGGGCTCTGGGGTGGCCAGCTCATGTCACCTCTTTACAGTTGCCATCCAGTGTCTGGAGACAGCCTTCGGGGTGACGCTGGAGGACAGTGACCTCGCCCTCCCCCAGACTCTGCCAGAGATCATTGAAGCAGCCGCTGCCAGCAAGGTGAGCCTGGGCTTCCCTCCACTGTGCCCACGATGGCAGTGGGCGTGGGCATTTGGCCATCCTGTGTGGACTCTTGACGGCACTCTGAGCTGGGTGGCGTCCTGCAAGGGCAGGGTTGGCTGGTCACAGTGGCATTGTTTGGCCCCTAGCAGGAGACGCCACAGGACTCGAGGAACCCTGACAGGACGCCGCCCTCTGAAGAGGACTCGGCCGAGGCAGAGCGACTCAAAACTGAAGGTGAGGGAGACAGATGTCCCAGTTGGGCCCTGGGCACGGTGCAGGAGGGGAGCAGCTGAGGTCAGCAAGGTGGCTAGTGGGAACGGGCGGGGGGGTGGGTTCTGTCTTTTAAAAGGGCAGCTCTGGGGAGCTGGAGAGAGAGTGCAGCAGGTAAAACCGTGCATTGTTCCTGCAGGGGCCTGAGGTGGCTCCTCAGAACCCTCATCAGGCTGCCAGCTCCCAGCTCAGCTCTGGGGTCCAGTGCCCTCTCCTGGCCTTTGTGGGCACGGCACCTGCACACACCCCTGAGTGCCTGCGCGCGCGCACACACACACACACACACACACACACACACACACACACGTGTACAACTCAGAACCATGTGTGTTTGTCCCAGCATTCAAGAGGGAGAGTTAGGCACATCTTGGAGTTCAAGACAAGTTCTGGCCACCCAGGACTACATCGTAAAACCCTGTCTCAAAAGCAAAACCAAACAAATGCTTTTAAAAATACATTTTCAAAAGTTGAAGTTGCTGGCTGTGATGGCACACACCTTTAAACCAGCAGCGGCAGGCAGATCGCTATGAGTTTGAGGCCAGCCTAGTTTAGAGAGCGAGTTCCAGGACAGCCGAAAACTTAATGGCCTGTGTGGAAAGTAGATCTCAGAAAACCCCAAGAAGAACCATGTGCTTAGGAGGGGACCAGCAGCCTGGTGATGGGTCCCAGAGGGAGGTGCCTTGGTGTCAGAGCCAGGCTAGCCCTCCGGGTCTGCAGCTCTGCATGGGATTTGTTTGGCTGGATGAGCAGGCTGGATTCTTGTTCTTTTTCTTTTTTTTATTTTTTATTTTATGTATGTTGGTGTTTTGACTGTGTGAATGTCTGTGAGGAGTTACAGACAGTTGTGAGATGCCATGTGGGTGCTGTGAATTGAACTCAGGTCCTCTCGAAGAGCAATCAGTGCTCTTAGTCTCTGAGCCATCTCTCCAGCCCTGGATTCTTGTTCTTGTCACCCAGAATGCTACAGTACAGCCACACTGCTACTGACTCAGGGCCACCCAGCACACACAATGCTGCCTTCTGTTCCCAGCAGCACGCTGACCAGGCGTGCTGTCTCAGCTGTCATGCCACTCAGGGGAGGTAGAGGCAGGATGGTCAGGGCTTGGCCACATAAGTTTGAGGCCGGCCCGGGGTATGTGACCCCTTAGCTGAATGTACGCGTTCCAGTGTGGCCTGAGTGTCCGGTCTCCCTTTGGGGATCTGAGCGCAGGGGGCTGAGGGTTGTGGGCAGCAGCATGGGCCAGCCTGGTTCCTCTCGCTCTCCCTGCAGGTAACGAACAGATGAAGCTGGAAAACTTTGAGGCAGCCGTACACCTCTATGGCAAGGCCATTGAGCTCAACCCCGCCAACGCCGTCTACTTCTGTAACAGGTACCCGTCAGGCCCAGAGGGCCACGGCGCCACAGTGCCTGCTGACATTTGGGGTGGACTGTGTAAGAGGACCTGCGGCTCTGAGTGAGGAGCGGGGTCAGGCAGTCTCCCAGGTGTGGCGTCATTTTGAGGACCCTGAGCTGTGCGGTCAAGCCAGCCGGGCAGCACACGGCCGGGCACTCAGACGCACTGCCCTGGGCACTCTTGTTACCCCGCAGCCTCTGCTCACCTCCTGCTCTTCAGTTGTCCCTCCGCTCAGGGCAAGCTTTCACACAGGCCGGCATGCCTGTGTAGGCCCGTGCAGTGCCCCCTTCCCACCACAGTCGACTCTGTGCCCACATCCCTCCGGCAGCCCAGCCTGGGGAGGCCTCTGTCCCCTGGCGGGCTTCCCGTGGCGAGCCAGGGCACCTCTGCTGACTGCCCCCTCTCCCCAGAGCTGCGGCCTACAGCAAGCTGGGGAACTACGTGGGGGCTGTGCAGGACTGCGAACGCGCCATCGGCATCGACCCAGGCTACAGCAAGGCCTATGGCCGCATGGGGTAAGAGCAGTGCGCTGCTGGCCGCACGGCGCGGGCCGGTGCTCCACATGCTGGGCTCACTGCCAGCCTCCCCGACCTAGGCAGCCACCGTTTGCTAGAGCGGCCTCGGCCGAAGCATCACGGAGACTCGGTGCCTGTGCCCTGTGCCCTGTGCCCTGTGCCCTGTGCCCAGGCAGGTCGTAGGGGTGCAGGTGGCAAGGCGCCGGGAGCCCTGTCCTTAGGGGCCAGCAGGCAAGCCATCCCCACAGTGAGCAAGGTGTATGTCTGCGTCCCAGCCCCGGGTTTCTCTCCGGAGACCAGCCTCAGGTTCTCCAGGTCCCCTGAGTAGCAAAGGCCCAGATGGGGCCTAGGGCTCTTGAATAGAGTCACCCAGGAAGGGCCGCGGGTATCAGCACGTGGTGTCAGGGACACGCGTGACAGGCAGGTGTGGTACCCTGATTCCTCGGCTGTGGAGCCCATTTCCCATGTGTGGGTCTGTCCTCGTGTGACCTCAGCGTTGTCCCCAGCCTAGACAGGCGGGTTGCTGGGTCCTTCGTGCCCCGCTGTGGCTCACCTGGCTTGCCCTTGGCCCCCAGCCTTGCGCTCTCCAGCCTGAATAAACACTCGGAGGCCGTGGCTTACTACAAGAAGGCCCTGGAGCTGGACCCTGACAACGACACATACAAGTCCAACCTCAAGATTGCAGAGCTGAAGCTACGGGAGGCACCGAGCCCCGTGAGCCCACACACGGGAGGGGCTGATGGGAGGCCAGGCTGGAGCTCCTGTGCTGAGGCGGGAAGGGTGGCGCTGAGGCTGGCGAAGAAACCCGGATGTTGTGATTAGGAGAAGCAGATGCAGGGATGGCGGGTAGAGTGTGTTCTTGGGGTCCTCCTGTTCTCAGACACAGGGCGGAGCAGGCCATACGGGCCGTGTGGTCACGGAGCTGGGACATGCAGAACGGAGCCCCCATGCTCTGTGTGAGGGAAACAGGTGTGGGCCACAGACAAGGTGCAGGCTGCCCGGTGGGCTCACAGTGACGGGCAGGCATGCTGGGCCCCTGGTAGGACCCTCCCTGAGTACTGTAGAGCATCCAAGACCCTGGGGGCTGCAGCCAGTCATCTTTTCCCGAGGGGCCAGCCTGGCTTCAGACGAAGCTGACCTGTGTCTCTCCTGCAGACGGGAGGCGTGGGCAGCTTGGATATCGCCGGCCTGCTGAACAACCCCCACTTCATCACCATGGTAGGCAGACAGCTTCAGGCCGCCAGCCAGCCTCCTGGGGAGGAATCTAGTAGGGACCCTCTGTGAGGCCAGCCAGCCTGCAGTGCGGCATGCCTGCTGGGGCCCCTGCCAGGCCCTTTAGTGTGCTCATCCCCGGCGCCTCACTCTGCGCAGCACACTGGGCCCACAGAGACCACTCTTGAATCTGTCTGGGTATGGGGCCTGTGCCTCCCCCGGCCCTCTGCCAGTCAGTTGGTGACTGAAGAACCATTTCTTCTGTCCGGGAGTCCCCAGGGTGCAAGCTCGGCTGTTTGGGTTGTGAGCAGTGGTTTTCACCTTGAAAGGCTGAACTCAGCTGGGTACGGTGGTACAGGCCTGAGAGCCGGGCGCTGTCTGAGCACGGCAGGGCCTTGCTGCCAGCTTGCCTGCTGCGGGGAAGGCGGTGCGGCCCCAGCTCGGCACTTCTGACACGTGTGCCTTCTCCTTCTGTTCTCTTTAGGCTTCGAGCTTGATGAACAGTCCCCAGCTGCAGCAGCTGTAAGTGACACTGCTCTTTGTCCTTCTGTGCACACATGAGGACAACGTTCACTTGTTGACGTGTGTGGGTGTTTGCTTGTGTGTGAGCCTGTACACATGGGTGCAGTGCCCCTTGAGGCCAGCAGAGGGCTCAGGCCCTTTGGCTCTGGCCCTTGCATTGGCACAGTGTCCTTGGGGGTCCCTTTGTGCTATGGTGTGTGTGCGCGCGCGCGCGAGTCTTGTTCTTGTTCAGGGCAGCATAATATTTCAGTGTCCTTGAGTTGTTGATGCTGACTACTGTGAACTTGGTGGTGGGGTCTGACTCCTCACTGGGAGCCGTGGGGCAGGTCCTGCCACACCAGGGGCAGCTCTGCCTTGGTGAGGAGTGGGGGGCCTGAATCCTCCGAGCCTTGTCTCGGCACCGGCCCTGGTGCTGCTGCCTTGTTCTGCACGGGGTGTCCAAGGTCCACGTCCCGTTAGGACCCCACCATGTTAGTCACGGAGTCCACATACTGTCAGCCTAGAGCCTGAGAAAGGGCTGCGGGCTGCGTGCTCAGTCCTCTCTCCTGCAGGATGTCGGGCATGATCTCGGGGGGCCACAACCCTCTGGGCACCCCGGGGAGCAGTCCGCCCCAGAGCGACCTGGCCAGCCTCATCCAGGCGTGAGTACCGCTGCTGGCTGTGGTGCGGGAGGAGCCGGGGAGGCGCCGGTGTAGTGTGGGGAGGGACCACAGGGCGGGGGGCACAGCTTCTCCTGGGCATCCGCAGGGGCCAGCAGTTTGCACAGCAGATGCAGCAGCAGAACCCAGAGTTCGTGGAGCAGATCCGGAGCCAGGTGGTGCGCAGCCGGACGCCCAGTGCCAGCCACGAGGAGCAGCAGGAGTGACGGTGAGGCCGCCTGCCCTGCGTGGCTTGCTGTCGGCCGTCCTGGGGCAGGCGCGTGGGATGGCGCCTGTCCAGAGCTGGCCGGTGGCCCTGCTTCTACCCTTTCCTCACTGCATCGCAGGAGTACGGAGGACCCTTGTGTGTGCAGTTGCCTGACCCCTGCCCTCACCCCCGCCCTCTTCTTAGTCCTTGTGTGCTTGCGTGCCTGCATGTTCAGTTCTCCGACCCCTCCCCGCGCCCCCCCGTATGGTGGCTCATGGGGATTCCCGTGTGTAGCTCCCTCCTCCCGTCATGGGGCTTCCTGGCCCATGGCACAGTGCTTGCCCACGTGGGTCCTGAGAGGCGGTGCGGGGCCTGGGGCTGGGGAAGCCAGCCCTTCACAGGCCAGCTGTCCCCAGCGCTGCTGTTCAGTTTCTCGTGGTTTTGGGTTTTGGTCTCAAGTGGCCAAAATTGTCCCCAAACTCCCGGTCTTTCTGCCTGCTCCTCTAGAGTGCTGGGGGACAGGTGTGTGCCACCCATACCGTTTGTGCTGGAGCCGTGGCGCCCCCGAGTGTCCCCACTTACCCCTCCTTGTTGGGCCCCTAGGCTGGCTGTCTCGCTGCCTCATCTGTCTGCAGCTGACCCTCGTGGTCCCCTTGCTCGCCGCCTCCTGGTGTTTTAGCGTTTTCTCAGTCGGGCTGCCCAAGAGAGAAAAACTGGACCTGCATGTTAAGACGGACTCGAGCTCCCCGTGTTCCCTCCTCCACCCTCTTGTCTGTGTACTGTCCCCGGCCCATGCCTTCCTGGAAGAGAGTCACGTCAGCAAGCTGACTACACACCAGCACCCGTTCCTCCAGCTGCCTAGGCGAGCTGCGGAGAGGGCTGGGGTGTGGGAGCCATGGGGGTGGGTAGCCTGGGCCTGGGGTCTCGGGCCCCACCCTGCCTGCTTCCTCCTAAGGGACTTGAGTAGCTGACTCTCAGCCCCTGGGAAGCATCCACTGCCAGCCCCAGCTGGGCGCCAGCACCCCATGCCCACACCTGGGTTGCAGGTCCCAGCGGGTCCCCCTGCCTGCCTTATCCCAGTGGCCTGTGCCACATAGGACCGAGGCCTGTGACTTCTGCCCAGGGTGTGGACCATCCGGGTCTCTTCTTCCCAGCTTCTCCTCCCGTCTTCACAGTCATCAGCCAGTCCAGCTCCATCCTCAGCCTGGGCAGAAGATACGGACATCCCTACCCGTCCGAGCCCCTTCTGTCCTCGAGCTCATGGGAATTCAGTGTCTTTGGGGTTGTCAAGCAGTCATGAGGTGTGGGCCCTTGGCCCATGCTGTCAGCCTGAAACAGCCACCGGAACCATTTTTATTGAGGGCCAGTCTGTTCAGTGAGGGAGAGCCTCACACCCACCTAGGAGCAAGGATCCAGGACAGCGGAACCCGGGGGTCGTGATGGCAGCAGGCTGGCGGCAGGTAGTGTCAGGGCTGTGTGTGTCGTAGTAGCCAGTAGGAAGATGGGCCCCGTGGGCAGTGCCGTCCACCCGCAGGTGACAGTGGTGTCCACGTGGGCACAGGCCGCATGGGGAATAAAGACGACATGCTCGGCCGCCGTGTCTGCCTGTGTCCCGCCGGCCTGATGTCACAGCACATGGTCCGTCTGAATGCAGTACACAGGGCAGGGCCTCAGACACGTGGGGACGTCTGCGTTGGGGCGGGCGCAGGCGACTGGGGTCTGAGTGTGTGGCCTGCGCCCTGCACAGGAGCCGGGCTCCTGCCCCTCGACCTGAGGGCCAGGACATCAGCCTGAACGCCACCCCGCCCTTCCCTTGCCTCCCACAGAAGACAGGGAAGTCGTGGGGTGGAGGCCAGCGCCCCGCAGGCTGTGGGGCACCTGCTCACTGAGGCAGGGCAGGTCAGGCTCTCTCCTAAGCTGCCTGTGTTTCTGAGTGTCTGCAGTCTTTGGGGTGGGTGGTCCCTGGGCCGAACCTGTCAGTCCCTGGTGTCTGACCATCTTTGGTGGGAGTGGCAGTGTGAGGCTGGCGGTGTGGTAGTTTGCGTTGCAGGGAGGCTTGCAAGGAACAGGCACCCCGAGTTTGAGGCTGTTGTCCTCCACCTGAGTCCCTGCTACATACTGAGCAAGCCATTCACGTGCGGTCCTCCGAGTCAAGCCATGGCAACCCTTTGTTCTTCCATGTTAATTGGCTGGGCAATGGTGGCACACGCCTCTGGCCCAGACACTCGGGAGGCAGGCAGGTGCTCTCCAAGGCCTGGTCTACAGTTTCAGGACAGCCAGGGCTACACAGAGAAAGCATCTCCTAAAAAGAAGAGTTTGAAAACATTTTTGTGAAGCTGTGTCTGTGCCACAGTGTGTGTATGTGGTCACTCAGTTCTCTCCTTCCGTTGTGTGGGACCCAAGGCTGGAACTAAGGCCATCAGGTTTGCCGGTGACAGCCATCATGGCTGCCCCACCTCATGGGCTTCTGTCCATCTGTGTGAAGGTCCTCATTTGGGAATGAAAACAAGAAACATGCTCAAATGCAAGCTCCATTCACCTGAAGCAGCCTGTGTTCCAGGCTTCCCACCAGGCCACTGTCCATTCCAAATCTTGCCTCTAGCAAGCTCAACCCTGGCTCAGCCTCTGCCCGTGAGAACCTTGTGACCCCCTGTAAGACACGCTCTCCATGTACAGTCCAGGCTAACCTTGAACTCGGCAATCTGGCTGGTGGGATGAGAAACTGGGTCTCCACGCCCAGCTTTAGTGACAATTGCAATCATAAGAGGGCTGAAGAAAAAGGCAGGGGCTCAGGAACATTTCCCTTGCACACAGGAGGACAAGGACCAGAGTTCCCAGAGCAGCCTTAGGGGGGAGCCAGGTTTGGTGGGATTGCCCACATAGCAGGCACGCCTGACTGGGGCCAGCTCTCACAGCCTCTCCTGGGATCCAGACTGCCTGGGGAATAAAAGTGAACACTGGGCCGGGTCTGGGGGGTGTGGCTGTGTGGCACCGGAGTCCCCTCCTGGCCTGGAATGTGTGTAGGCCAGGGAGATGCGGGGCCCCAGACGAGTTAGAAAGTAGCAGAGCACCTGACCCACCCCAGCATGGCATTAGCCACGGAGTGCTGGCCTGGCTTTGCTTTGCTTTGGATTTTCAAGACACTTTCTCTGTAGCTCTGGCTATCTTAAAACTCGCTGTGTAGACCAGGCTGGCCTCAAACTCAGAGGTCCACCTCTGTCTCCCGAGTGCTGGGATTAAAGAAATGCACATTGCTGCCCAGCCATGGTTTTCAGCTTTCGCTGTCAGGCGGGCAGCTCTGCAGTAAAGAGCTCTGGCTGTTCTTGCGGAGCACCTGGGTTTTGTTCCCAGTATCTACATGGTGCCTCCGAACTCCCTAACTCCAGTTGCAGAGGACGTGATGCCCCTCCGGCCTCCAGCAGCGTACATGGCAGGCACGCAGGCCCATCGCCCAAGCACAGAAGGAAATAACCTGAATCCCGGCACTGGGGAGGCAAAGGCAGGTGCGTCTCTGTGAGGTCGAAGCCAGCCTCATCTACAGAGTGAGTTCCAGGCCAGCCCTGCTACATGGTGAAACCGTGGCTCAGAGACCCAAGGTCCTGTGGGCTTCCCTGGCCTCTGCCAGTTAACAAAATGTTTAAAAATCCTAGCTTAACCTAGAGCGGTTGGGGCATTTCTGAGTGTGGCCAGCAGGTGGCGCCCCGCACTCACCCTCGAGGCCTCTTGACAGCCCCACCTGTGCTTGCAGCCTCAGGACCCCATGAGCAAGGCCACAGCTTAGCTGAAGCCCCCAGGCCTGCAGCCTAGAAATTGTCCCGGTTCCCAGGCGGGGCTGTGTGCCCTGCGGGCAGGTTCTCCTCGCAGGCACAGGAGAGATGTCCCCGCTAGCCTGAAGTAGCTCATCTGACATTCATAAACCACAGGGACCCTGTCCAAACCTGGCAAGCACCAGCCCACAGACAACAGATCCCTGCTCAGGAGGAGCTGGGACCTGCAGGCAGACCTGCGCAGTGCCCCCGGAGGTTCCAAACTCAAATGTCATCCTCAGGGCCGAGTTCCCGCTCACACCCCCACCGCCCCCACTCCAATGTCCAAATGACAGAACCAGGTCCGCTCCTGCCATCCCAACACCAGGGAGGCCCGAGGCAGGAAGATCAAGTTCAAGGCCAGACTGGACTACAGAACTAGGCTATGTCTCAGAGTTCAGACAGAAGAGGACCAACAGTACCTGCCTGCTGCTGCGAGGAGGGGCCTCCTTGCCTCTTATCGCTATTGGCTATTGGCTATTGGGGATCGTGACATGAGCGCGCACCTGATCTTTGCCACAAACTTTTCTGTGCTCGTTGCAGTTTTTCTCCACCGTGGACCTGCAGCCCCAGCCAAATGACGAACTGCTTTCCTCATGCTAATCTTGCCCTTTCCTAGAATGTTTTGGAGTTAGAGTCCCTGCACATTCTCCTGTGCATCCGGGTTCTCTTAGCGCAAGGCTGCACGGATTCAGACTGCAGTTCTGTCATTTTGATCGCTGCCTAATAGTCCACTGTATGGACCTAGCACGGCATTTTATCCACTCATCGAGTGTTTCCTTTCAAACACTCTTGTTTATATAGATACATATATGTTACATGAATGTATGGGAGCTTTGTCTGCATGTGTATCTGCACACCACGTTTCTGCCTGGGACCGCAGAGGCTGAAGAGGGAGTCATGTTCCCTTTGACTGGAGTTGCATATGGTGGTGAGCTGCCATGTGGGTGCTGGGGATTGAGTCCAAGTCCTCTGCAAAAGCAGACCGTGATGTTAACCACTGAGCTGCCTCCCGGAACCGTCTTTAAAAAGTTATTTTATTATTGATAAGTATGAGTGTTTTGTCTGCATGTCTGTCTGGTGGCATGGAGGCCAGAAGTGGGTGTCGGATTCCCTGGAGTTATGGATGCTCAGTGGCGGCAGTTTACGTCTCTTTGAAATTTTTAGATGTGATCTCATTTTGTACAACAGGCTGGCCCCAACATCTGAGGAGCCTGAGCTTCAGCTGAGAACCATCACTCCCACCTCCTTTTGTTTGTTTGAGACAGGGTTTCTCTACAAAACCCTGAATGTCCTGGAACTTGATACATAGACCAGGCTGGCCTTGAACTCACAGAGATCCACCCGCCTCTGCCACAGTGCTGGGCGAAGAGGCACGCTGCTGTGCCTGGCCCATCCCGGCTTTCATGAAATAAACTTCATCACCGTTGCTACTGTGTGTGCGTGCACAGGGGTGTGCAGGTGACTGTGGGACACGGTGCGTGTTTAGAGCTCAGAGGACAACCTTGGAGAGTCTACCCTGAGAACCCAGGGGTTTCACTCAGGTCACCAGTCCTATCGGGCAGGTCCCTTTGACTCACTGGCCCATCTCAACACCCCCCACCCCGGGCCCTGACTTGTGTTCTTGCCTGGTCTTGATCTTAGGAAGGAACAGGAGCTGACCTTGAACTCCCCACCCTCCTGGATGCAGGCAGGCTACAACATCACTCTTGCTGAACCATTTAAAAAGACAAGTTGAGGCAGGTGGTGGCGACACATCTTCATCCCAGCAGGTAGGAAGGCAGAAGCAGGTGGATCTTGACATTTGTGGCCAGGCTGATCTACAGAGTGAGTTCCAAGGCAGTCAGGGCTACACAGAGAAACCCTGTCTCCACAAAATAAATAATTGGTTCAGGCTATTTGTTACAGTGACAAGTTGATGAGTTCAGACAACTCTGAATAATGCTGTCAGCCACATTTGCTCCAAGTCTTTGTGCGAATGTGTCTTGATTCCTGTTGAGTAGACGCCCAGGGGTGTGGCCATGCAAGTGTACATTCAACTCCCATCTGCATGTCTTTCAGCCGTGGAGGGAGTTCCAGCTTTCACTGTTCTTCAGATGTGATGGCTGTCAGTCTGCTAGCTTAGAAATGGCTTTTGTCTGGAAACACTCCAACTCTCCAGCAACAGACAAGCAGATCTAGTTAATCCAGACAATGGGATGTCACATAGAAATAGAGAGGAAACCAGGCTGGACACAGCTCAGCAGTTAGGGGCACTCGCTGCTCTTGCAGAGGGTGCGTTGTCAGGACCATTGGTGACTCCAGTCCCAGGGCGTGCGATGCCCTCTTCTGACCTCTGAGCATCAGCCACACAGCTGTGCTGTAGACAGACATGCAGGCAAAGCACTCATAAACAAAAATATCTGTTTTGCATATATTATATACAAATGTCATACAAATAAATCTTTTCAAAAATAAGTAAACGAGACCGACAGTAGTGGGGCACACCCTTAATCCCAGCACTCAGGAGGCAGAGGCAGGGGGATCGCGGGGTTGGAGGCCAGCCTGGTCTACAATTCGAGTTCCAAGACAGCTAGGGCTACACAGAGAAACCCTGTCTCCAAAAAAATACATAAGTAAACAAAAAAAGTAAGAAACTCATGCAACGCAAAGCTGCATGGCCTCATGAGTGTCTGCCTTGCTTAGTTGTCTTTTTTCTGATTTTTTTGAGACAGGCTTTCTGTGTGTAGCTTTGGTTGTCCTGGACTCATTTTGTAGACCAGGCTGGCCTTAAACTCACAGAGATCCACCTGCCTCTGCTTACTGGGTGCTGGGATTAAAGGCCTGCCCCACCACCTCCCGGCTTGCCTGCTTGTCTTTGAGACAGAGTCTCATTACATAAGCCAGCCTGGCCTAGAACTTGTGGGCCTCCTGCTTCAACCTCCTGAGTGTTGGGATGACAGACCTACATAACCACATGTGAAAAAAAAAATCCTGTAAAACTTTGATCCGCATTGAACACAGAAATTTCTTTGCCACGTGTGTTCTCTAGCCCAGAAAAACCACTGCCTCCATAGCACTTATGTTGTGTAAGGGGCTCTAGATACAGCAGGAGGCCGTGTGTGGTTGCTCTTACCTACAATCCTAGCGGTCAGGAAGTCGATGCAGGAGGATTCTGAGCTATCTGCACGCTGTCCAGCCTCAGCTGCTCAGCAAGACCCTGGCTCAGACAAAGAAATGAATATAAAAATGAAGCATGCTGGTGGTGTCTATAATATAAGGCCACTATGCCATTGAGGTCTTTAGGTGCTATGTAGATGCCATGTCACTTTAGGAGGCACTTCCTGGGCGGCAGGAATAGTTACAGTAATGACGTTCTTATTTAAAGGTGTGATTGTGTGATACAGTGTATCTCTTGAGCTTCAATTTGTTCTTGCTATCAACAGATATTTGGTGAACCCATGTATTGTCTTAAGTCATCAGGAAGGGCTTCAAGAAGGTTCCATTCGCTCTAGGAAATCGCTTCCTGCCTCCACCCACAGGCATTCAGCACCATGCGCCCCTGGACAGCTCCGGGATGTAACCCCTCTTCCGGAACCATAGCTCCAAGTGCGAGTTTCCTATCGGAACTATTTGGTAGTTGCACTCAAGCTCTAGAGAGAGGAAACTGCTTTCCGGAGCCCGTAGGCGTTGCAGAATGATTGGCAGCCGATCCAGCCAGTAAGGTACGGGTTCTGTCTGGTGGCCCTAACAATGTCCAATAAACGCTGGCGTGGGCGGGGCGTGGGCCACGGCTTGCAGCCCCGGGTCTCTTGGCTGGTCCGCTGCGGCGGGTTCCGGACCGCGCGGCGGTTGGCGGCAGGCGGCACCGGCTGGAGGCTTGAGGGCCTGACGGAGGTACCAGAGGGGTCGGGGCGTGGCCTGGGCGTGGCGGGGACGAGGCGGGATGGGGCGGAGCCGAGGGGCCCGGCCACTGCCGGCTCGAGGAGTCCTTCCTCCGGAGTGCTGCTGCGGGGGCACACAGTAGGTGCTCAGTAAATGCTCAAGGCAAGAACGACCTTGTAGCCCCCCAAGGCCGCCCCGACCAGCCCGACTTTGAGAGCCCCAGGGCCACCCCCACCCCACCCGATCTTCTGGGCATCTATTGGGCGCCTAGTGTATGCGCTTTGCCTTGTGTTCACAGCAACGGACTCCAGTACTTTTGAGTTATTTTTGTTTTGTTTTTATTTTATTAATTATGTCATTCATGTCTAATATTTGAATTTTAAAGTTTAACTTAATCTTAACCTTATTTATTTCATCCTAACTTAATTTTTTGTTGCTTATTTTCATTTTTCAAAAGGTTTTCTTTTTTTAATTATTTTATGCATCTGTATGTGCCCGTCTGTACGTACACCACGCGTGCAGTGCCCCAAGCGGCCAGAAGAGGGGCTCAGATCCACTTGGGCTAGGATGGAACCTGGGTCTCCCGCAGAAGGGTCCAGTGCTCTAAACTACTGAGCCGGCTGTCCTGCCCCATTCTCTTTTATTCTTTTATTTATTTTTATATGTTTCTTTTGGAGAGAGGGCCTTACTGTGTAGCCCTGGCTGCCCTGGAACCCACTCTGTAGACCAGGCTGGCCTGGAAGTCAAAGATCTGCCTGCCTCTGCATCCCGAGCGCTGGGATTAAAACTCGACTTGTTTTCTGGGGAGGGTGGTGAGTGCGGAAGGCAGAGGACAACTTGTGGGAATCCATTCTCTCTCCTTCGTGAGTCCTTGGATCTTTCTGGGGTCCTGAGGCTTGTACCAGCACCTTCACCCTAAGAGCTTTGTTTCACTATTTTGTTTCATTTTAATTCAATTTTATTTTTAGTTTTTGTTTATTACTCTGTTTTGAGGTATGGTTTTTCTCAGTGTCCACGCTGATCTCAAGCTTGTGGCAATCCTCCTACCTCATCATCCCATGCGCTGACTTCAGACCCAGCAAAATTTTTATTTTATTTTTTTTATTATTTTTATTTTGTTTATTTGTATTTGTGTGTGTGTGCACATGCGCAAAGTGCAGACATTAATGTCAGTGTCTTCCCTGATCACTCACACTCACATAAACGTTTTAAGTTAATTAATTAATTTTTGTTTTTTCGAGACAGGGTTTCTCTGTGTAGCCCTGGCTGTCCTGAACTCACTGTAGACCAGGCTGGCCTCGAACTCAGAGATCCATCTGCCCTTGCCTCCCCAGCGCTGAGATGAAAGGTGCCACCATGTCTGGCACGTTTTTTACTTTTTAATGTAAAGGTTTATCTATATGTGCATTTTGCTTGTCCTCACTCTGTGCACCACATGTATGCCTGTCGCATGTAGAGGCCAGAAGGCATGTCAGATTCCCCAGGAGCTGGGGTTCTGGGTGGTTGTGAGCCGCCAAGTGGGTGCCAGGAATCAAACCCGTGCCCTCTGGAACAGCAGCCTCCGCACTATCCTGAGGCAGGTCTCCCACTTGAGCCCAGAGTCATGATGGCACAGCTGCCACATGGGCCAGCTCCTGTGTGGCAGTAGAAGGGGCAGGGCGGGGCAGGGAACGTGGGGAGGCTGTGACGACAGAGCTGGTGTGTGCTCGGCAGCAGGAAAGGAGCAGCCTCACCCCTGACTGTGTGAGGCAGGGCGAAGCCTCCTCCAGAGAGCCCCGAGAGCACAGCCTGTCCTTCGGCCGCCACCTCCGCCCAGCCAGCTGTGGCCTGGCATCTGCTCTGTACCAGGCGTCCAGGTGGGCAGGGGATGCACTCGGGAGTGCGGTCGGGTGGTGTGGAGGAAGCCCTTCTTAGCGCCAGAACAGAAAGACGAGTGTGGGCACTCCAGGGCGGTGGCTCTGGGCAGAGGGGGTGCTCTCTGCAAAGGGCCTGGTTCTGGCACAGGCAGGCTGCTGTGAGGTGAGTTTCGGCACACAATGGATACGTTGGTCCTGACCTTGGGGACCTGCGTGAGAGCCCCTGTGAGGGCAGCAGCTCCCCCGAGTGTGTGCTGGCAGCGAGGGGGACCTCCTGTCCTGTGCTCGCTGCGGAAGCCACTCAGTGCAGGTGGCCACCAAGCACTGACAGTGAATTTCATGTGCCCTGCCTGAGTGTGTGTGCATGAGTGTGAATGTGTGTGTCTGTGTCCGTGTGCGCCCAGGTGTGTGCTGAAAGCCAGAGGTCAGCCTCAGGTGTCTTCCTCAGTCATTAATCCCTGTGGTTTTGGGGCAGGGTCTCATGCACCTGGAACTCCCTGGCCCATGGTGGCCCGGGCAGCCCCCTCCCTGTCCCAGGCCCTCGGCTGGAGCACAAGCACTCCGAGCCCCAAAGTCCTGGAGCAGCCCAGTGTGGCTGACCGATGACCTCACGGCTCACTCGGCTGCCCTGTCCACACAGCTGCCGAGCAGAGCCATGAGCGTGCAGCCCTGCCGCGGGGGCCGGTAGCCCCCAGCAGGCCTTTGTGTGTGACTCCATCTGTGCTTGGGCCCTGCGGCGACCCGTGTGACCCAGGCGGCCGCCATGACGAAGCTGCTGGTGGCAAAGGTTCTGTGCATGGTGGGCGTGTTCGTGTTCATGCTGCTGGGCGCGCTGCTGCCGGTGAAGGTCATCGAGGCCGACTTCGAGAAGGCGCACCGCTCCAAGAAAGTGCTCTCCCTGTGCAACGCCTTCGGGGGCGGCGTCTTCCTGGCCACCTGCTTTAATGCCCTGCTGCCGGCGGTGAGGGACAAGGTGAGGCGCCCTGGCGGCCGGGTGTGCAGGGGCTCAGGAGCAATGCGGACAGGCAGAGTTGGCGCCCTCCACAGTGTGTGGCACGCTGAACGTGTGCGCTGGTGTGGCTGAGGGGCTGGCCGGGAGCCCCAGGATCGCGAGTCTGCCGCAGCCTGCTCTCACAGTCTTGTGCTAGCACACCCACCTTTCTAGGTGTCACAGCTCCGGGGTCACGACAGGTTTGGGGAAGGAGAAGGCACATCGCCATGTGACCCTGTGCCAGCTGCTGCCCTCTCTGTACCCTACCCTTGCCCAGGGACTGGGCAAGACTGGCCCACTGGGTGACTAGCCCTCTTTGCCCGTCCCCGGCAACCCTGGCCAAACCAAACTGCAGCAGGCAGCACCAGACACAGCACTGACGTATCCCCTCGTGCTTCCCGGGGCCCAGGCAGGAGGCCGCGCAGACCTTCCCAAGTTCCTCTGCTGCAGGGACCTCATCTCAGTGAGCGGGTCCACACCCTGGCCATCTGTCAGCCCGGGAGCCCCTTTCTCCTTGGCTCAGCCCATCACCGGCAGTATGGCTGCCTGGGTCACAGGCGGGACAGAAGTCGGTGGAACCTTCCTCGGGTGACAGGTGTGTCAGCGACCGTGGGGTTAGTGAGGGCTCCCAGCTCAGCGCACAGGAAGGGAGTCATGTCAGGCCCGAGTGGCCTTGGTCTCACTGAGGGAAGAGGCCCAGCCTCCCAGCAGCTGCCGAGGCTGTCAGAAGCCTGGGGACCTCAGTGCTGTCGCCCAGGGGAGCCTCCCTCAAGGCCACAGTGGTCACAGGTAGCCAGGAGGCTGGGCACTTTCCTGGGCCAGAACTGAGACAGGTGGGGCCCCAGCCCACCCGAGCCAGCTTCTGCCATCTGAGCCACAAGCTACGGCGGCCGTGTCTGCGCCACTGAGAAGTGTGTCTGTGGTGAAAGGTCTTGCTCTGCAGCCCCTGTGTCGGCCTTGTAGTGCTGGAACCCTGGGCCTGAGCCCCTCCTGCTGGTTTCCCTCATTTGTGGTGTGCCCAGCCCTGCCTTCTTGTCCAGCATCTCACATAGCTCCCCACCCCCCATGCCTGAAGAGTGGCCCTGGCCCTCACCGTCCACCCTTGGGTGGACGCCTGCCCGCTCACCCAGCATAGGGCTGGGCTCCAGGCATCCTCTGCAGCAGGCAGTTGACAGTGCTGGAATCATGTCTGCGGCCGCGCAGCAGAGGCCACGGAGCAGCCTTGTGCAGTGTTTCTTGGGCGCTGTCTTCCTTTTTATGTTATGGGTATTTAGCACGTGTGTTCTTGTGTGCCCATGTGGCGGTCACAGGCTCTCTGGAGTCACTCCCTGCCTTCCACCATGTGGGTCCCCCAGATCTGAGCTCAGGCTGTCAGGCTTGGTGGCAAGCGCCTTAACCCATGAACCATCTCACCAGCCCTGCCCACCCCCACCCATGGAGATGGAACCCGTGTGTGGCAGAACTGTGCCTCAGCCGCACTCTGGAAGTCTCTGTTTTAACCTCGGTGTGACTTGGGCTGTGTCTTTTGGTTGTGTTGAGACAGCGCCCCTCTGCGTGGCCCTGGCCTGCTTCGGAGCGCTGGGATTAGAATCCTGCGGCAGCTCGCTGGCACGGCCAGCTGTCTGTGCCGCACCCGCCTGCTTGAGGCGCGGTCTGTAGAGGGTCCCAGGGCCCCGTGAGCCTGCAGCCCCCCGGCCTCAGCCTCCTGAGCGCCCCTGCCCAGGAGGGAGGCCGGCAGCTGAGCCGGCCTTGTCCCCGCAGCTGCAGCAGGTGCTGGCGCTGGGCCACATCAGCACGGACTACCCGCTGGCCGAGACGCTCATGATGGTGGGCTTCTTCCTCACGGTGTTCGTGGAGCAGCTGGTGCTGACCTTCCGCCGGGAGCGCCCGCCCTTCATCGACCTGGAGACCTTCAACGCAGGCTCGGACGCGGGCAGCGACTCGGAGTACGAGAGCCCTTTCGTGGGCATGGGCGGCCGAGGCCTGTACCCTGAGCCCACGGCTCACACGCACAGTGCAGGGCTGCGGCTGCGGGAGCTGGGGCGCCCGGGGCCTCTGCGGCTGCTCAGCCTGGTCTTCGCCCTGTCGGCACACTCGGTGTTCGAGGGCCTGGCGCTGGGGCTGCAGGAGGAGGGCGAGCGTGTGGTCAGCCTATTTGTAGGCGTGGCCGTCCACGAGACCCTGGTGGCCGTGGCCCTGGGCATCAGCATGGCCCGAAGCGCAGTGCCCCTGAGGGACGCGGCCAAGCTGGTGGTGACCGTGAGTGCCATGATCCCGGTGGGCATCGGGCTGGGGCTGGGCATCGAGAGCGCCCGCAGTGTGGCCAGCAGCGTGGCCTCGGCGCTGCTGCAGGGCCTGGCCGGTGGCACCTTCCTGTTCGTCACCTTCCTGGAGATCCTGGCCAAGGAGCTGGAGGAGAGGAGCGAGCAGCTGCTCAAGGTGCTCTTCCTGGTGCTGGGCTACGCCGTCCTGGCCAGCATGGTCTTCCTCAAGTGGTGAGCCCTGGATGCCCGCAGGACACAGACCACAACCCTCGCCAGCCGCGCTCAAGGGCCAGAGGTCACGCAGAGGGGCCTCCTGGGCTGGCCACTGCCTGCGCCCTCCGCAGGCGCCAGGCCCTATAGACACTGCTTTTAAAACCGTCGTAAAAGTTCTTTACCAAAGCTATGTGGCCATGTCATGTCATATTCCGTCACCCATCCCGTTTCTGCTGTCACTCCTGAGCCAGGACTGGAGCCAGGGGTGGGAACGGGCTTAGAGGGAGCAGCTGCAGTCCCCAGGAAGCCGAGGCCCCACCCCCACCGGTCACCCTCAGTTTCTCTGGTTGCTCCAGGATGACAGGTAACAGTTTATGAAAGGAGCAGTGCGTGTGAGATGAGCAAGGAGACGGGCGGGCTGTGTCCCAGCGAGGAGTCCCCTCCTGGCCCTCAGGATCTGCGCTGCTTCCCAGAGTGGAGGCACCCCTAATGCAGCAGGCATGGGAGCCGAGAGGGTGAGCGGGGCATGGTGCTCATTTCTCACTTGTGTCCACACCACACTGGTGAGGGCCCCATCCTCACACGGCAAAGAAACTCCCAGGATGCAGGCAGGAGCTCAGCAGCTAGCAACCATGTTGCCTGTTGCTATGGCAACACCGACATCTTGGGACACTCTGAGTGAGGACTCTCCTCTGGGGACATAAGCCTGCCATGGCTCACCACCTTCCTCATCTAGGGGCTATCTATCAAGCCTCACCTCAGCGCTGTCCCGATGGTGGCTGGGTGTCAGCCTCCTACCTAGCAACTGCTGCCCTGGCCAGGTGACCAAAAAGAGTTGTTTGGGGCGGACCCTACCCAGCTCCACTCAGAAGACACAAGGCACAAAGAGACAGGGCCTTGGGGACACCTGGGCCTTGGGCACTGGCCCCAGAGCCCCGTGCTGGGGCCACCTCAGTGCTGTGCTAAAGCAGGGTTCAAACCACCTCCAGACATGGGGCACATGTGGGCCTGGGACTCCAGTGAGGGAGCCGCAGTGCCGCTGGCTGAAGCCCCTCCCAGCAGCTTCCCCGAGGACCCCCTGCTGAGCCCAATGCCGGTGTGCCCACAGGGCCTACTGTGCCCTCCCTTCCTCCACGTAACACCTATAGGACGCGTAAAGGGCTCTGCAGCTCTTCCTGTGGGCTCTGTGGAGCCGCCATGCCCCTGCAGGTGCGGACTCAGGCGACAAAGGCCAGGCCAGAACAGGAAGAGCCAGGTCCCCATCCGACCACACCAGCAAGGAGGCTGCGCCTCCCCTGTGGGTGCCTAAAACGGCACCCCCTTCTGGCACTAGCTGCTCTGACCCGGACACCAGCCTGAAGGCTTGCACCCTCCCCATGACCCTCCTGGTCATGCCAACCATGGGGCCTTGTGGTCTGCATGGGCCCAGATCTGCATGTCCAGGAAGCACCATCCTGGGTGCTCAGCATAGTGATTAGGGACCCTGGACTCAGGAGATGCCCACCGCCCTGTCTACCGAGCACCTTCTGCTCAGCACCCACCCAGCCCTCAAAGCTCAGCTCAGGGTCAGCCGGATGTGCAGGGCCGCAGGAGCGTGCCTAGCCCCGCCGCCAGAGGCCTTCAGACTCCCCTTGCTGGGCTGGGACCGTGACAGGTCGAGGTCTGGAGCTCACGTCCCTGGCTTCAGCCCTCTGTGACAAGAACAGACCTCTCTCAGACTGTAGTGCAAAGAAGCGGGATGTGCCACCCTGCCTGGCTGCACAGGCCGGCAGCGCCTCACCATCCCTAGCCTCCTCACTGGTGCAGCCTGGTCAGGGGTAAGCAGAAGCCAGGACGTGGCCTCCTGTGTCTCCTACTGAGAGTTCCAGTTGAGGTGACGGCCCCTGTCCCCAGCCACAGGAGACCCTGGGCTATGCTGAGGACACGGTTGTCATGAATGGGCCTGGAGTAGGCGGCAGGCATGCCGCAGGGCCCAGGCTGCCTCCTGCGGAGACACAGCTGGGACACAGCTGGATGGGTGAGAGGGAGGGCGGTAGCGGAGGCCAGCGTCACCGCTGAGCTCTGGGTGTAATAACAGCGTGTCAGCGTCTCCCACGGCTTGTTTGTGCTCCTGTAACACAGTCATTAGTACAGGCGTGGCCGGGCACAGCCAGCTCCTGGCATCCCACCCCTACACGGCTCCAGGGCCAGGACGGTCTTTGTCCTGCGTCCCACCTACCTGAGGAAGACTCCTTGGGGTTCCCCAGCGGCGCCGACTGGGGCGTCTCCGTGGGGCATCGGGGACGCCCTGCTTGTCTCGGGCTCCACTTTCTCCAGGGCAGGAGCTCCCTGGTTTGGGACAATTCTGCGTCCCAGATGTCATGCAGCGTCCTCCGGGGGAGGGGCACCCCTGTAAGCCACCCCTCCAGTGAGCGGAGCAGGCTGTCACTCCACTGACAGAAACGGCACCAGAACACTGCATGCATCGGAGGAGAGAACGCTCAGGACAAGGCTGGCAAGGAGCTCAGTGGCCAGGGTGCCACCACGCCTGGCATGCTTGGGTCTGACCCCAGGAGCCCACGGGTGACAGAGCCGACACAGGGGCTCCGTGGCATGCATTTGTGTGTGCTCACACCCCCAGAAATATAACAAAAACGGTTCTGAAGCGGGGCATGGTGCCCACCTCTAACCCAAGCAGTCAGGCAGGCGGATCTCCGAGTCCCAGGCTGGCCAGGGTTACAGAGTGAGTCCTATCTCAAAAGAAACAAAGAATTTGAGCTATTTCTAATTTGCTTTATTTTTGTGAATGGATGTTTGGCACCACGTGGGTCCCCTGTTCCCAAGGAGACCAGAAGCCAGCGCCATCTCTAGTCTCCACAGAGCCCAGGCCGGACACGGCTGCAGGATGAGGTGTCTTCTCCAACTAACAACAAGCCACTGGGCTCCGGGATTCTGGTCTGCGGGGATTTCTCTACCTGTGTTTGTGTGTGCATGCACATGCGCTTATGGAGGCCAGCAGAGAGCTTCCTAGCCCCTGGAGCTGGAGTTATAGTCAGCTGTGGGCCTTGGCCAAGCGCAGGCCTCACCTTGGTTTCTGAGGTGCAGTGTCAGGAGTTGTGGGTCTCCCGGTCTTTAGCAGACCACCCCCTCGGCACCACAGAGACTTTCCTGGGTCGGCCCCTCTGGGTCGGGCCACCCTTCCAGCTCTGGCAGTGTGGGTTGTGAGAATCCATGGTCAGGTCCTGTTTTGGCAAGCACCTTGAGGGGCTGAGCCACCCTCCCCAGGCCCTTCCCTCACCCACTTCTGCTGCTGGGCCCAGGGCAGGGCTTTATAAAGAGGTGGTGGGCGTGTGGTGGGATGTGGTGGGCGTGCAGGGCAGGCAGGAGAGAACTCCGCATTGCAGGGCCGGCTGGCTGGCCTCTGGGGCTCCTGAGCCCCGATGCCCTGTCTGCCCTGCACGGCTCAGCAAGGTGGGGCAGAGCACAGTGCCCCCTCCCCTAGCCACATGAGGTGCGGCTGCGAGAGGGAGGCAGGGACTGGGGTTGTCTTCGGTGGCTCCTGGTGCCCAGAGCCTGGCCTGCCATCTATAAATAGCATTGGCTCGTGGACAGGCTTCTCCGAGTGAGTCAGCCCGGGCTGGTGCCTGAAGGAGCCAGGGAGCTGGTCAGAGCTGGGCTCTGAGCCCACCGGACTCTCAGGGGACCCAGGCAGCCATCCCGGGCAGAGGGAGCCTGGCTGCCAGCCCCAAACCCCCATGCACCGCACCCCAGAAATGGAGCCGTTCTGTGGGGTTATTTCCAGCTTATGTGGGACAGGGCTGGCTGAAACAGCTCCCCACTAGGCTGCCACCACCTCTGGGTGCAGGTAGCGGAGAACCCCTGAGAGGCCCCCACAGGGCCAGGCCAGGAAGGAGGTAAAATCTTCAGGGACAGTTCCAGGCAGCCCAGGATAGGTGGGGCACAAATGGCAAAGGAGAGCTGGGCAGGCCATGGAGACCCTTCACACCAAGCCGGGTTCAAGTCCCAGGACCCGCTCGGTGGCTCACGACTGTTCACAGCTCCAGCTCTGGGAAACCTCATGCCCTCTTCTGATATCCAAGGGCACCAGGCAGGCAACGCATTTCTTAACAGAGAAAACACAAATAAGGAAATGTAAAAATTAAAACAAATTGAAGTTGCTTTTTTATTTATCGGTTTCTGTGTGGAGGTCGGAGGACAATTTGTTGGAGTCAGTTCCTCCGTCTGCCACTCGGGTCCCGGGGAACCAACCCAGGCCTCAGGCTTCACAGCAAACACCTTCACCTTCTGGGCCTTCCCACTGGCCCAAACCTTTTTCAAAATACAAAGTAAAGTTTTGTTATGTTTTCCTTGCAGTGTGTGGGGGAGCCAGGGCCCGGGTAGGCTGGGCAGCTGCGCCACCCTGCTCTACCTACCAGAAGAACAATATTCTGTTTGTCTTATTTCATCTTTTCCTCTTTTCTTCCCTCTGTTCACTTGAGGCTGGGTCTTCCATTTTCCAGAAATTGTGTAGCTGAGGCTGACCTCGAACCCTGGCCCTCTTGCTTCTGCCTCCAGTGTTGGGATGACAGGTAGGCAGTACCACCACACTGGGAGAAGATGTCAGAGCTGCCAAGGGCGGACTGACCCTCCAAGCTACAACCCCAATAACAGAGTTCTTTGTGTTATTTTGTCTTTTATTCCCCTCTCCCTCCTTACCGCCCTCCCCCTTTCCTTCCTTCTCCCACAAGGGTCTCTACTCTGTAGCCCAGACTGGCTTTAAACCCACAGCCATCCCCCTGCCTCTGCCTCCCTGGTGTGGCTGACGTCTTCATCTGTGGAAGTGTGTGTACCCAGCTCACAGCCTCTCCATCAGCCCACTCTGCCCCTCGCTGGTCTGCCCTGGACCAGGCTTATCCCCCGCCCATCCCCACTTCTCCCTTTTCGCGGTTGGGGCGACCTCTGGCTTCAAGGACCCTGCAGGATGGGCCCTGTCGCCCACCCGCGTCCCCTGGAGCGCAGGCGGCCACGTGGTGCGCGTGGGTGTGGGTGTCCCGATGGCCAGCGCTCTGCACGCCCCCGGCTGCTGGTGGACACCCAGGGCGGGCTTGGCGGTGACCTTGGGCTGCAGCGGCCCGGGCCCGGGTCCCGGCGGGCGGGGCGGGCGGGGCGGAGCGCGGCTGGGGCGGGGACATCAGGACTGCGGCGGCGCGGACAGCAGCGCAGCGGCGGGGACCACAGCGGCCCAGGTAGGCGGCGGGGCAGCCGCGGCCACAGAGGGTGGGGAGGGGTCCCCGGGCCACCATGATCCCTTTGTTCGGGCCCCACCCTCCTGGGCCACCGCGCCAGGCCCCGCTTGTCCCTGGGAGTCCATCGGTCACCATGGACAGCTCCCCGCCGCCCCACCCCTGCCTGGCCACGCAGAGCATCACCTGGGACCCTCTGGGGCCTGCTCCCTCATCCCGTGCCCTCTGCAAACTGCCCGCTGAGGCCCGGGTCCCTCACTGCCACCCACAAAGCCCTGCACCCTCGCGACCAAGCCCCTCTCTCAGGACTCCTCTCCTGAGCCCTCTCCTCACTCCTAGGGAGCCTCTACCATTCCCTGAGTCCCTAAAACTCCCCAATTTCCATCACTCCCCCTCATCAGTCTGCAGCCCCTAGATCAGCCCCTTCCATCGGTCAATGCACCCAGCCCCAAACCCCTCCCTGGCCGAGGCCATCCTGGCTTCTTACACCCGAGGTGACTTCCGGGTCCCAGGGCCCTGACCTGTGCTGCCCTGTGGACCAGGAGGCTTTGGCCAGGCTGGTCAGGGCTGGGCTGACGCAAACAGGGTGGCCGAGGTCTCTGAGCCCCCAGGGCATAGCAGCCGAGCAGGGCCCAGCAATGAGTCCCTCTGAGACAAACCACCTCCTATATGCATGACCTTGAGCAAAGCTCTTCCCACAAGTCCAGGCCCCTCTCCCCGCCCGTCCCTAAAGGAGGGTCCTGGATTACACAGGACCCTCGAAGCCGGGGCACAGACCTCAGCGTCCGTGTGGACATCCCCACTGGGCACTGCGACTCTCGGTGCCCACCACCAGGAAGGCGCCGCACCTCCGTGTGCCACCTCGGATCCCCTCAGGCCAGCGGGGGTGGGGTCACATAATTCCCTTGCTCAAGGTACCCCTCAGAGCCATGTCAAATCTGCTGGGCTGGGGGCAGCCCCATGCCGGCGCCCCCCAGCTCTCCCCCAGGCCAAGGAGCACCTGTGTAGAATACGGGCACAGCTCCTGTCCATCTTCAGCCTGAGAAGTTTTCGGGGTGTGTCACTGGGTTGACTCTCTTTATCTGAAGCATCCACGATTCTGAATGTGTCTTCAGACCCCATGGGGGACCCTCATCCTCACCCCAGAACCTCGGCTTGCCATGATTTTGGGGGGCTCCTTGGAGATTGGGCCCGAGGCAACTTACCCTAACACTGGCCCCCCATCACTGTGGGCTACACCTGGGTGCCCCTCATCTCACTGGTCAGAAGACTGAGCCCCAAGGACACGCTCACTTGTCCAGTGTCACACTCCCTCGGTCTGAGCCTGGGGTAGTCCTCGGAACCTTCCCCACATGTGTGTGCATGCTGACGACAATAACTTGAAAAAAGGAAAAGGGCTCTGGCTGAGGGACCCCAGTAGTGGGACAGCTGCCCCTCCTCTCTCCACTCCACACACTGCCCCCAACCCCTGGTGCTTTAGGAGTCTTCCTGCTGTGTGGCCCTCTGACACCGTGAGCCTCTCTGAGGAGAGACAGGCACAGAGCCCAGGGAATCCCAGCCGGGAGGGCCTTCCTGAGGCACACAGCGGCCTAGCAGAAGCCAAGGCCTGGCTCGGGAACAGGGAGCCCCCACGCGGCTTCCGGGCTCTCTCTGCTGAGCCCGAGCCGAGAGTCCCCGTGTCCCAGGAACCGCTTCCAGGGACTCAGCGTCAGGATTTACACATCCAATTCCTGCCTGTCCCCAGTGCCACAGTTAATCATGTTCCCAGGGCCAGGCCTGAAGCCAATCTTCACGACCTCTGGGGCTGAGGGGCCCTGAAATGTGCTGTGTGTGTGTGTGAGAGAGATGGTTGTTTTGGGGTCTGTCATTTGCTTATTTTCCTGTTTTAGTCTTGGCTTTTTTGTTTGTTTGTTTTGTTACTGTTCAGCCCAGGCTGGCCTCGAACTCACAGAGATTTACCTACTGTCTCTGGAGTACTGGGGCTAAAGGTGTGCACACCACAGTGACTCTAAGCTTTTGCTTTTGTTGTTGTTTGTTTGTTTTTAGGAAGAGTCTCACTGAGTAGCCCAGGCTTTCCTCTCCCCTTGCCTCAGCCTCCCCAGCTCTAGGCTCACGGGCAAGCGCCGACCCCACGCCTGATTCTCACAATGGGGTTCTTCGAGCTTTATTTTTCCCCTCTGTGCCTGTGGGTGCAGTGCTCCCGGAGGCCAGAAGAGGGCGTCGGGTCCCCTTGAGTCACGGGTGGTTGTGAGCGGCCGCGCGGGCGCTGGGAACTGAACCAGGTCTTCAGTCGGAGCAGCTGGGGCTCTGACCGCGGAGGTCTCACTCAGCGCCGACAGCCCGCCTTGATTTTCTGAGACAGGGTCTCTCCCACATCAGGATGGGGCAGGAAGGAGGCTCGGGGCGTGAGGTGCTCCTGCCGCCGGTGGAGCTGGGGCTGGGCGGGAGCCAGGCCCGAGATGGGGCGCCGGGCCGGCCGGGGGGCTGACGTGGGCTCTGTGCACCCCAGCCTCACCAGCGCCACCTCCAGCCTCGGCCCTGGGAGCTCCGGCGCGGGGAGGGCGGCTGGGGTAGAGCAGGGCGCAGGGCCGCCGCGGGGGGCTCTCCCGGGCCTCTGTCTCACCGCCCCTCCTCCACCAGGTCGGTCTTCGCAGCCGGCTTTGGCGAAGATGCCAGAACAGAGCAATGACTACCGCGTGGTGGTGTTCGGGGCCGGCGGCGTGGGCAAGAGCTCGCTGGTGCTCCGGTTCGTGAAGGGGACGTTCCGGGACACGTACATCCCGACCATCGAGGACACGTACCGGCAGGTGATCAGCTGCGACAAGAGCGTGTGCACACTGCAGATCACGGACACGACCGGCAGCCACCAGTTCCCGGCCATGCAGCGCCTCTCCATCTCCAAGGGCCACGCCTTCATCCTGGTGTTCTCGGTGACCAGCAAGCAGTCGCTGGACGAGCTGAGCCCCATCTACAAGCTCATCGTGCAGATCAAGGGCAGCGTGGAGGACATCCCCATCATGCTCGTGGGGAACAAGTGCGACGAGACGCAGCGCGAGGTGCACACGCGCGAGGCGCAGGCCGTGGCGCAGGAGTGGAAGTGCGCCTTCATGGAGACCTCGGCCAAGATGAACTACAACGTCAAGGAGCTGTTCCAGGAGCTGCTGACGCTCGAGACGCGCCGCAGCGTCAGCCTCAGCGTGGACGGCAAGCGCTCCAGCAAGCAGAAGAGGGCCGACCGCATCAAGGGCAAGTGCGCGCTCATGTGAGCCCTCCAGAGCCGGCCAGGGCCCGGGGCCCCTGCTCCCCGCCGTCCTCCCTCCCCTCCGCCCTCCTCTCGCGGCTCCTCTCCCCCTCCTCCCTCCCCTCCCTTCTCCGCTGTTCCTTCCCGCCTCCTGCTCCTCTCTTCCCTCCCCCTTCCTTTCTTCCTTCCTCCTCTCCTTCCTCTTGCCCCTCCCTCCCTCCTCCTCCCAGCCCACCAGCCCTCCACACCTCCGTAGCTTTCATCCCCTGCTCACCCCTTCCTCTCCATCTCTCTGTCCTTGCCCCTCCTATCTGTGCTCCCCAACCACACACTGGAGAGCGTCCCCTGTGGATCTGAAAGCAGGGAGCCCGAGGACCTGCTTGCCCCAGCCAGAATCAGGGAGGCCGCCTGGCCTCTTCATCCATGTCCCTTTCCGGGGTGTTCCCGCCCAGGCCCACGTCCCCACATTCTCTATCACTGTGCCCTCCTGGGGAGTGCCATTGACCTCATCTGCCTCTACTCGCATCTTGTTTCTTTCACCCAGTCCTGTCCCTCCCCGTGGCCTCTGGCCTGCGCCTTCTCTGGGTCCGGAACACCCCTGTCCTCTCCCGACCGCACACCAGGGTGGATGGGCCTAAGAACCAGGCAATAAGCACAGGGCTCACAGCAGAGCCCTGCTAGCCCTGAGCGCCACCTCTGGATCGGCAGGCGCCCATAGCACAAGCCCGGACTGTCCAGCCAGGACTGTCCTTCAGGGAGGCTCGTGGGGACCCTGAGCCCAGAGCGTGGGGCGGCTGCCTGGACACTGCCCACCTGGACACCGGCCTTCTGCCGAGACAGAGACAGCGGGCACAGCAGGGCCTTGACGGCGACCCTGATAGGGGTCTGGGGTGCTGAAGATGGGGTCGAAGCTGAGGGGGCGTCAGCGAGGGGCTGCCCCAGGGCTCTGACCCAGCCGAGCCCCTCTGCTGGTCACGCGCACCCCAGAGACTGTCCCCCGCGTGTGCCCCGAGTCACGGAGCCTCAGCGGTGTCTGGGAGGCCCGAGTGGCTCCTGGGCCTGTGTCCCTCCCGCCCACATGAGGGTGACTGTAAACTCCCGTGTTTGCGCGACTTCGAGTGTGCGGATGGGTGTGCGTCTGTCTTGGGATGGGGTGTTCTGCAGCGTTCTGTGTCCTTAGTGAGACCGCAGTGTGGGTGGTGGTGCAGAGTGGCCTGTGTGTGGCTGGGAGGGGCACCTAGACATTGTGGTTTGTCTGTGTGGATCTGTGTTTTCAGGAGTGGCTGGCACATTTACCTGTCACCCTGTCTGTCCGGCCTGTCTGAGGAGCACCGGGTCCTGCTCCGGGCTGTGAGAGCTGGCCTGTGCCTCCGAGTGTATCAGTTGGCTCCTGCGACAGGGACGCCAGCACCGAGGCTCCGGCCCACGTGTTCATTACCTCCTGGGGGCCACAGCCCAGGCTGGGGCCAGCGGGGGCCTCCGTGGCGTGGGCGTGTGTGAGAGGGGCAGACACCCGCTGGAGAAGCAACAGGGACGGAGGCAGAAGGACGGCTGCGGCCAGGTGGCGGAGGAGGCCAGACCTCAGCGTGGCCCTCTGTGTGCCGGGCACAGAGAAAGCCAGCGCCTGAAGCCTGAGTCTAAGCGTAGCTGAGCCCCGACCCCCAGCCAGTCCAGGACCCCACAGCTGCCACCTGCTCCCAAGCCCCGGGAGCAGCTCCTGGCTGGGCAGGGGGTCACAGCCCTTTCTCAGGGACACACCCTGACAGCACAATCCATGCCTCACCCGGCCAGCCGTGCCCTTCCTGGGAAACCCGGGCTGGCTGGCGGGGAGGCTGGAGCCCACCTTGGCTGCTGGCCAACCTGCCCAGGCATCCCTGGTGCTGGGGAACCCGCCAGGCCTCGCTTGCTGTGACCCACCCCTCCCCCCCGCATGTGGGAGCCCCGCCCACGCGGGGTCTGTGTACGTTCGCTGTAGACCTTGTCTTCCTGCAATAAACACGTGGATCCTGCCTCCCCTGCGCCGGACGGCTTCTGTGGGGTGCTGGCTGCCTGCCGCAGGCGAGGGCTGGGGTGCGGGGTGGGTGCGGGGTGGACGCGGGGGAGAAGGGGTGGGATGCAGTGGAAGGCAGGTCACAACCAAGCATACCGGGCTAGAGAGCAGGTCCAGGCCTCGCCATTGCCCTGAGCCCCAAATGAGCCTCGCCTGCCTCCCTGGGTCAGGCCCCCTCCAGTTCCCCCGCCACCCCTCCACTCTGCAGCCCTACCCCACCGCCCTCACCCACTGGGAGAGTGCACTCCCTCGCTCACTCGCTCATTTGCACTGTGTGAGGAGGCACCACTGTAACCTGCACACTTGAGGACCTGCAGGCCGCACACCCAGGCCAGGGCACCTGCTCTCTCAGAGCTCCCTCCACTGAGGTAGTCACTCCCGCCTCTAATCCCAGTCAGCAGGAGGGGAGGGCAGGGGGAGGAGGCAGATGCCAGAAATCAGACAGAGAAACGACTGGGTGGAGGGGTGGCTCAGAGGACAGAAAACGGCGGGCTGCTCTTGCAGGAGGTCCAGAGTTCGGTTCCGGGCGCCCATGTAACAAGCCAGGTTTCCTGAAGCCCCCCGGGCAGGGAGCCAAGGCAGGAGCGTCCTTCTGCCTAAGATAGAAACCAGGTTCAGGGAGAGACCCTGCCTCAAAGAAATCGGCAGGAAGCTGAAGAGGAGGACACCCATCCACACTCTCCGTGGCCCTCCGCCACGTGCGCACCTGCCCGCGCTCACACTCACACGAGCACATACATAAACGGCGCAAGGAAACCAAAATAAACACGCAGCCCGCACAGAGCCCAAAGGGAAACAAAAGGCCAACACCGCCGAGGGCCGCGGGCCTGGGCAGGGGGGTAGGAGGCAGACTCGGTGCCCAAGGGCGGAAGAGCAAGGACATGCCTCGCCCTCCCCTCGGCTCTTCGGGGAGGCCGCTCTCCTGGTATCCAGGAGGGTCTGACTCCAGGTCTGCCTCACCCGGACGTGACATCCCGTACGCACGCGCGCGCACGGCAACCTCCACACACATAAAATAAGTAAGTGTGCTTTTGGAAAAATGAAAGCAAAATAGAAGACGGAGATGGAGTAGCGAGGGGCCTAGGGGAAGTGGGTGTGTCCACCGCAGGCAGCTCGGGCACGCCCCCTGGGGCAGCTGGGCACCCCTGACCCCTGGCTCTGCTTAGTTAGAATCGATCGCCTGCAAAAAGATTTTGATTTTTGTGCTTCTTGGTTTGAATTACATTTGGGAAAATTTATTCCTATGTGTGTGTGTGTGCGCTTGAGTGTGTGGAAGTCACAGGACAGCTACGACAGCCTGGTCTGGCCTTCCATCCTGTGAGAACTGGGGCTTGAACTCGGGTCCTCAGGCTTGGCGGCAGACGCTCTTCCCGCGGAGCCACCTCACCAGCCCTTCTTAGCTAGTTTTGAATTTTTAAAAATTTCACCCACACTAGTGTTTGGCCTCCCTGCACATCTGTGTGAGGGCGTCAGATCCCCTGGCACTGGAGGCAGTTGTGAGCTGCCCTGTGGGTGCTGGGCCTTGAACACGGGGCGACAGCCATCTGAGCTATGTGGAGCGCGCGCAGTTGAGCATCCTGGTGGAGATGGTGACGCCGAGTCCGGGTAGCCTGAGTGGGGGTGCCAGTCTGGGAGGGAAGGGAGCTGGAGGGGTTCTCGCCACACACAAAGTGAGCGGGTGTGCATGCGTGTGCGCGCCTGCGTATCCCAGTGCGTGTGCACGCGTGCGTGTGTGCACAGGCGTGTGCAGATGTCTCCGCCGTCACCAATGCAGCCTGTGAAGGATGCACACCCAGGGGCCGGGGCCACACCAGCGCGATTCCCTGGCCCCACCCCAGCCACAGTGAGTTCAAGGTCAGCCCGGGGAGTTTAGCTTCAGCCTAAAATAAAAACAAAATAAAATAAAAAGATGGCGGAAGGTGTAGCCCGAGTCCTACTGTAAAAAACAGCAGCAACAAAGAAGCCAAGGAAGAGAGAGACCGGAAAAAACGGAGTTAAACGTGCGAATGCAGAAACGGTAAACAAGCAAACAAGCCGATGAAAAATTTAAAAAAATATATATTAATAGTTCCACCCTACCCTGCGTCCCCTCTCGGGATTCGAACTCGGTCCTCGGAAACCCCAGGCGCGCTTCCGGCCCCGGCTGTCGGCGGGTGTTCACTGGCCCCTTGCAGAAGTGGTGCTCGAGGGTGACTCTGTGCTGTACTCGCCCTGCTGAAACCCATTACACCACCGCACAACGGATACGCACCAATAAAATTAACCCAAACACACACCCAGAGCAAACCCAGGCCCGAGGTAACGCGGGCCCAACGCCACGCAGCCCCTCCCCGGGGCGGCCCCGCCCCCTGCACCAGCGCTTGCCAATCTTCGGTGGGAAACCCCGCCCTCGGCAAGCGAATGGCCCGTGGAGATGCCATTCCTGAGTCCTCCCCGCCCACCGACGCCCGAGGCCCCGCCCCGCGGCCCGAGGCTGAGCCTACCAGGCTGCGTGCCCAAGGCTCCTCCTCTGGCCCCGGCCTCCGCCATCCTGGCTTGTGATTGGTCGCGATGCTACGGAGGCTCCGCCCTCGTCGCGGGAGGCCCCGCCCCGTGGAAGAGCTAGCTCCAGGCCCCGCGGTGCGTTTGTCTGCGCGGCGGCTGAGACACGGGCTGGAGGCAGGTGAGCTGGGCGTGCTGGAGGGAGTCGGGGTGCTTCGGCGATGACAGGGCTCGTCCAGGAGAGGTGGGCCGCAGTTAGGGAGGAGTAGGGTGCAGGCAGAGAGGAGTGGGGTGCAGTGAGAGAGGAGGAGGGCGCAGCTGAGGAGGAGTGAATGCATTTGGGAGGAGTGGGGTTCGGTCTGGAAGAGTGGGGTTCCGTCGGGGGGAGTGGGGTTCAGTCGGGGGAGTGGGGTTCAGTCAGGGGAGTGGGGTTCGGTCTGGAGGAGTGGGGTTTGGTCGGGGGG